CAACATATTCTCTTCGATTTGTGTAATTCTGGCTTCCATCCTCTTCTTCTTCAAACGAGTGTTATGTGGAAGGGGTGTGTCCAACGCTTGAGGCGGTGTATCTAGTATTTGTCCCCCTTGATGAGACATGTTTATATTAGTTAATGTGAATGCAAAGAAAATAACAAAATGCAAAGAAAATAAGAAATGCAAAATGTCTAAATATATGATGCATGAAATGTCCGAGGCATTGATCCAAAAAATTTGCATGTTATTCTGAATAACCCTTATTGGTGACAAAAGTGTTACGTCTGAAGAGACAAAAAACTCTTTTTGATGGTACAAATCCTGTACAGCTTCTGATTCATCTTTTTCACTAGTTGAATATCCTGTCGAACCATTCCGGCTCCTTTGGCTAAAATGTGCAAATAATGAGATGCTTGCCCAAAAAAAAAAAAGATCTCGAATGACTGCATCTCCGACTTTCACTTTCTACCGAGCTTGTTTCTAACGAAAGTGTCATTGGAGCCTTCCATCGAGAGAAACTATCCGAAGCTTGCTTCTTGAATTCGTCAGTAATGGCATCCAGCTCAGCTAGTGTTTTACCATCTTGTTCTTGTAGTTTTCGAAAGGAGCGACCGGGTCAGTGACCTTTTCCTCGTATTGCCCCTGCAACTTTGCCTTTGAGTATTCTTTGACCACGGTTGGACTTCTGAGTTTTTTTTTATCTCTTTGTATTATAACCCATTCGTCCATTAATGCAGATTATTCATGTTTTAACAAACACATTTTTGGTGGATCAACACATCGTTTTAAATGATGCAAACGATGAACACAAAATAAAAGAGAACAAAAAAGGGTTAGTGAGGTAAATCAAAACAATAATAAAAATGAAAAATGCTACCCCACATGATATCTACCCCACATGCTTATTATTCCTACCCGGACATGATCTCTATCCCGCATGCTAATTTCAAACAAAACCTAACCACATGTTTGTCTAGTTCGCATGCTTTGAACAGAAAATAAAGCAGGAAATAAAACAACCTAGGGTTTGGAATGAGGTTTCGGGGTGGGCTCTAATTCCCTGTACTCTCCCGGTTTAGGTTCTAAAAAGGTACTCGAGTTCTCCTTGCCGGTGCCCCCTTGGGCTTACCAGACCCTTAGTCCTAAACCCATCACAGGCTTGTGTGGACTAAGTTAAACTCGAGGGGACACGTTCCCTTATGCCCGCACGGTGAATAAATTCACACGAAGACATAAGGTATATGAATCCTGAAGGCTACTTGCTAGGCATATGCGGTGAATAAATTCACACGAATGCGTCGCTTTCACCCCCACTTAAAAGGGTTCGGAGCTCGGGTATAGAGCCTGAGATGAAACTTTTCGAAAATCTGAGATCATTGAAAAAATGTTAGTACAACTATTTACTTGGAAAAATAATCAAAGGGCAAATAATTGGAATCGAATAAATAAATTAAAATTTAAATTTACAATTTTCGCATAAAAAGACAACCGAAAATTAATTCTGGCCTGACTCACTTACCTGTCCCCAGCGGAGTCGCCAAGCTGTCGGAACCGTCTTTCGGTTGGGCCCGAAATTGGGCTTCGACTTGAGTGATTGGGTTGGGAGTCGCCACCGACCATTTATTTTAAAACAAATGGGTTGATCGGATACCCTATTTCTTACCTGATCTGCGTTGTACCAGAAATATGTTGGGCTCGGGAGTCGGTTACGGTCAAGGAAGGATTAGCACCCTTGAACCGCCCTTTCGGTACCAATTAATTTACCGATTGTCTTTAATGGCGAAAATAAAAAAAATTTAAATTAGAATTTAAATACTCGATTCGAATTGTTTACCTTTGACCGATTTAAAGGACCACTGAAAATGTTAAAGAAAATGTTAGATGATAAAAAAGATATTAAATAAATCAAAAAAATAATAATAATAATAATAAAAGTAAATAATTAATTAAAATACTAACAAAGTAAACCAAAAAGAAGATTAGTAAAAAAAGGAAAAAAATGAAAAGGTTAGATATTGTAAAAAAACGTCCTGAAAGTAGATGTCGACTAAAATGAGCCAAAATTAATAAATAAAATAATTAATAAATAAAACACGGGCTAAGATATAAACAAAGGATGAATGAGTGCCCAAAACAGAAAATCAAAACTCCATTAAATGATTAAATGGCCATATTACAAAGATCGGGGGACTAAAAAAGGTATTACCCCCTTAAGGCTTAAAAACGCGGGTATTAGGCTAAAACGACGTCGTTTCACGTTTGTCTTATAAACCCTATCACAAGGCTTAATTTTCTCATTTATCTCCCTTTGCTTCCTTACCTTGAAACCAGAAAAGAGAGAGGAGAGAATGAGCTCTCTCAACAGCTTCGGCTGAGCCCAGAATCCGACGAAGCTTCACCGCCTAGGTCGCCGTTAACCGGCGGCGTCCGTCGTCCGTCGGTGCCTGAGGAGAAAAAGGTGTCTCCTTTCGACGCACTTCCACTCCCGGATACGAATCTGGGCTTCGTTTTGTCTGGAAACACCTCAAAGTCCGTAGATCTACAATAGACTTTTCGTATCTTTTGTTTCTTTTGCTAGGTGTCGAGTTTCCTGAATGGTTTTTGTCTCACTGTGATGGCTCGATTTTGTTGTTTTCGCCTTGTTCTTGTGTTCTCGTTTACTGTTGATACTTGGTGCTGTTGTGTTGATGGTGTTTGGTGCGATGTTGTTCCCTCGGCTCTCACGTGGGTATTGTGACTCTCTCGATGATGATGATGGTTGGGTTTTTGACCGTGTTGGTCATGTGGTTTGATGATTCTGGTTTTCTGTGGATGATCTGTGGTACCGATGATGGTCCCTCCCTCTGTGATGGTTGGCCGTGGGTTTTTAACCTACGCCGGCCGTTGGGGGTCCCGACGATCTCGGGATCGTGGTTGGTTGGCCGTCTTTTTATAGCCCTTGAAAGGGCCGTTTGGTCCGATAATCTCGGGACGATCTGCTCACGTTGAGGTCGTCGTGGGCGGAAATCCTGGGATGGTTCAGTCCCGAGATCTCGGCCGGTCGCTTCGATGATTGGCTCCATTGGCTGTGGCGTTCAGCTTCTTCCCTTGACTTGATCTCGGCCGTTGGATTGGGTCAGATCAACGGCCCAGATTGACTTGTGCCTTTTCCCCTTTTGCTATTTGATTTGTGCGGCGCTTGGATACATTCGTTGAAACCTAATGCTCCTTGGGCTAGTTCACGGCCTCCAACCGGACTGAGACTTGTTAGACTCAAAATGGATCTGGACAAAAAAAAACAATAAATTAAATTAAATTAAATGAATAAATGAAATGAAAATAATAATAATAACATACTAATAATAATAATAAAACTATATAATATATATATTTCAAAAATATTTTTTTTAAAACTATATATTATATTCTTAAAAATTTCCAAAACTATATATTATATAGTTTTCAAAAATGATTTAAAAATATTATATAAGATTAAAAATATGTTTTTAAAACTATATATTATATAATTTTTCAAAAATGTTTTTTTTAAAACTATATATTATATATATTTTCAAAATGATTTCAAAACTATATATATATTTTTCAATGCATTTTCAAAACTATACATTATATATGTTTTCAAAATTTTTTTAAAAAACTATATACTATATATATTTTCGAAATGTTTTCGAAACTATATAGTACATATATTTTAAAAACATTTTCAAAAATTATATTATATTGCTATAAAAAACGGACGAAAATGAGTGTCTACACCTATACTAAACAATTTTTTTATTATTCTATGTGATTCACGAGATAATATTTATTCTAAAGACTCACAATCATTTTATAATAAACGCTCAAATACCTATACAAATATTATGCTCAAACCAAATAACTCTAAGATATAAATTATTCACTTAGATCGCTTTAATCGTACAAATAATCTATTTAGTCTTTGAAAAAAAGGTGTGTGGATTTGATATAATTTGAATTAAATAACATATAATATTAATTTTTTAAAATTAATTATAAAAATATAGTAAATATCATTTCTTTGTTAGTCATTAAGTGACATTAACACTTGTTGAACTTGAGTCTAGTTTAATTATGGCATATACAAAATAGAAAACATATAAAAAAACTAAAATGTATAATAAATAATAAATACAAAATTTACATATAATTTAAAATTTCTAATTGTACTTAGAATAGTATAATGTCTAATTGTAATTTGTCAGCGAAGTTGTTTCTTTTTTCTTCTTCAAATTCAAAGAATTCATATAATTTTTGGGGAAACACACACATGTCATTGATTTATATTTAAATGATGAATTTAATCATTGATGTTTAAAAAGCTTCAAATAGTCATTGAAACTCATATAATTTAAAATTTCTAATTGTACTTAGAATAGTATAATGTCTAATTGTAATTTGTCAGCGAAGTTGTTTCTTTTTTCTTCTTCAAATTCAAAGAATTCATATAATTTTTGGGGAAACTACACAACATGTCATTGATTTATATTTAAATGATGAATTTAATCATTGATGTTTAAAAAGCTTCAAAATAGTCATTGAAACTATGACTACAATGTTATACAAAGTGTAATAATTTGATAAAATTTAATAATCATTTTACAACAATTTGATAAAATTTAAATACATTTTTTAGGGGTGGGTACTCAATCGAGTCGAATTGAGAAATATATTTCGAGGTAATCGAGTTGATTGGTAATACTTTATCATTCAAACTTTATTTGAATTTATTTCAAGTCCAATTGTTCCAGGTTATGTTCAAATTTAAATATAATTATTCATAAAAATATGATACATATTGATTTTAATTTAACGTCTTTCTCTAATTATATAAGATATACACCTATGTGTATTCATTTTTTATATTGCAATGTTATTTAATAAATCAGATCACTTTATAACACAAAATATATTTATAACTTTATTTTTTTTTAAATTATTTTGCAAAAAAAGATATTAATGGGAACATAAATGAGTTAATGGATCCACTTTGTTGCTGACCATTTCTCACCTTCAATTACCGGGCATCCGGCATGCAGACTGCTCGGGTCGGGTATAGCATTAGGGTAGAGACTGAAGAAGAGTAGGGCATCCCCTCTTTTTGGTTTCACTAATTATTTCAAAGTAAAAATGCATAGGTAAGAAAACAGCAAAATATCAATTAATTGCTTAAATATATATAACTTTCCAGTTTCTATGTAACCTTAACGCTCGGCACCGAATTACTGGCTTAAAACACCAGTCGAAAAGAACATGTGACCAAAAGCATGTGAAATAACAGAGGTAAAGCTCTAATACAAGTATGGACACTTCAACAAACCTCTGCTTCGGGGAACACTGTTTCGCCACCTTTGGTCACATTTGTAAGATACATCAGCACAGTGGCTATGCGGTGTCCACCCCTGGCAATGTTCACCTTGTCAACAAAGTAATCGTAGTGCGGTTCATATTTCTGCCCATGCTCATATCTCAAAACTTGGATGCCTTCTCCATTTTCTGGACGTGAAAAAACAAAAAACATGTTACTATGTACTTAATTTAATCTCAATTCCTAAATTTGATTCTCCATTCTCCAAAACATGTATGTATCTAGTTTTACATTAACATAACATATATAAGATTTGTTTCTCAGCCAAGGAGTGGCAAGAAGCTTTACAATGACAATTAGAAGATGATCACATTCAGATGATTTAGATATTGAATATTCAAAGATCATTAAAAAAAATTGATTTCCAGATGCATAAATCATCTATTCAACTACATGGTCCAAAGATGAACAGAAATCTGCAGAAGAGCCTTTATCTTATGCAAAACACCTTCCTGCCTACATCATAGTCACCGGTCAATCCTGTGGGTTTAGTACTTTCAAACTTGTGGATACAATCACAATAGCAGAATCTAACTAAATTGCAACTAAAACCTTGACTAATTGAAGATATGTTTCAAAATTCCTTAAACTTATTGTTATTATGTGAAGGAAATATTCACATCCTGTTAAAATGTCATGAAAACAAAAATTTATGACTGGGAATAAAGAAAATGATCGTATTGGTCACCAATTCCACCTGGTGCCAATGGTGCTGACAAGCTGGTGTCGATGGTGGTCGAGCACCGAGGGCCAGCTAGTGGTGTCGACGGTGGCCAATGGTGCTAGCACCCAAATTAATCATGGTAAAAAGTTAAGATCAAGAGAGAAAGATGCATGACCATCAGTTTTCTTGAGCATATATTATTCATACCTTCGGGAAGAAATGTCCATGTTGAAATCTTGTCCTCAATACCATCAACAATAGGATCCTACAAAAAGAAAAGGGAAATGATAACCAAATGCATAAGGGTGCAAAGTTCCGACTGTGACTAATCACTAAAAGCTTGTCAGAGCGAACACTTCTGACCTTGATTAACATACATTTCTTTCATCATCACCGTACAAATCAAACCTATATTAACAATGCAAAAGCATGAAACTATCTATGGGATCAGCACTATTATATGTACTTATAAAGAAAATTGAGTAAGATCTTCAACAAATCATACAAAAATAATTACCTTTTACATCAAAAGGCCAATTTTAGAAAGAATAAGTGTTCAAGTAAAGCTTATCTTGAAACGCCAATAACTAAAAGCTTCCATAAACGGATAAAAAATAAGATTCACAAGTAATATATATATATATACACATTTAATCAATAAAAAAAAGTGTATAAATATTGAACCTTCGCTTTAGCAATAAACATTCCCGAACTAGTACGGAATTCGCTAAGCTTGCTCTCTCCACTAACATTATCAGCAACTGCAGATCTCTTTAGCTCCGATTTCACCTTTACAGTAAGGGGAAAAATCAGATTCTTATAAATGTACTAAAATTAAACGAATTCAAGCTATAAAACAAACGAAAAAAGTGGAAATGCAACTTACGAGAGATATCAAATGATCGCATTCGAGGTCCGTTAAGAAGCCTTCATAGACAAAAGCTCTGCAAAAGAAAAGAAATTTAAGACAAAAATGAAAGAAAATAAAAATTAGTTAAGAATCGAAGAGAAACTGAGGACCTAGGTTTCCAAGAAACTTGTTTGACTTTTGAAGGATCAAACGAAAAAAGTGGAACTGCAACTTACGAGAGATACCAAATGATCGCATTCGAGGTCCGTTAAGAAGCCTTCATAGACAAAAGCTCTGCAAAAGAAAAGAAATTTAAGACAAAAATGAAAGATAATAAAAATTAGTTGCGAATCGAAGAGAAACTGAGGACCTAGGTTTCCAAGAAACTTGTTTGACTTTTGAAGGATTGATAATGGAGCTTGGAGAAGTCAAGAAGGAATCGCAAGATAGGTACAAGAATGACAACAATATCATGAATTGCAGTGTGTAACTCCTCGAAACAGTCATTGCAAATGTGGAAGGATTTGGATAGAAAAGTGAGAGATTTTCTGCGAAAATGAAAAGTCAAAATTTTCTCGGGAAAATGATATTTTCGTGATCTGATTTCTGAGTGAGCTCTGACCCAGTTATCCGTTGAAAACTATATATATGAGCAGTGATCCACGATGGTCGGTAATTTTTCAGGTTATTATTTTATTTTAGATTTGACAAAGTAAACGCTGCCGTTTTGCAAGTGAAAATTGAATTTAAGGGTAAAACAGCATTTGGTCCGTAAAATTTGACCGATGGATTTTATTTTGATCCATAATAGTTTCGTAACTTGACAATCTTATCTAATTTAATCCCTGAATTTGAATTTTTAATCCCTTTGATCACATGAAAATTATGTCACATCATCATCATCCGAAAGTTTTAAAAAATGTTTTTTTAGAATAATGAAATGATACCGTCTTCAAATTTTACATCTAGAAATGATAACGGATGAGGCTGATTTTTTACCTATCTCGAACTCGATCTGATTTAACATAATTTAAATTCTTTTTTCTTTCAAAATAGAAAATTAATTGAATAAAACAAATTTGGTAAGTTCACATAATTTACAAACTTCATAATTTACAAACTTCATTGTAGAAGAATGAAAAACCAAAGCCACCTAGATTAAAAGTAAACTGTCAATGGAGTGAAACTAACAAAGTTCTTTAAACATCATTAGACTGTTCTAAAAGAATCTCCATTTGATGATTGATATCGTTCAAGTTCTTCGTTGAATTGTATTCTTCTGCATCGAAGATCTCCTCCGAGTATGTCCTTTGAAGCGTTGCCTCTGACTCACGTATTTTCAGCACCTCCAGGCCTCTGTCGTTGCCCTTCAGAATGTCTACAACCTACATCCAAATGCCATGTTTGAATCCGGAACACAACACACAAATGAGAGCATTCTGCAGAAAAGTTTTTTTGTTCGCGTTTTGAGTTTGAATATGTGGAGACACTTCAGCGTGATAAAACCTTTAGGGACCTGTAGGTGCCTAAAGAGAACACTGATTTGTATCTCAGAATACGACCCAATGAGTCAGGCTCGGTATGGCCTAATTCTGAATTATCCCCTTTAAGCACCAGTAAATACCTTTGAGGTTTTGTCATATAGGTGCGCCTTCACAATTTCAAACTCACATTAGATTGTGAGTCGAATTTGTGGAGTTGCATATGAAGGTAGCAAAACCTTGAGAGGGACTGTGGGTACCCAAAAGGATGATTTCGGGTCATGCTTGTTTCGTTGTAACGAAAAAATTAGTTAGGAGGGAATGACAGGGACATGCCTCGTTCATTTGGGGTCGATTTGCTGCAGATGGATGTACACAGATAGAAGCTGTTGCAACCATACGTTGCAACTGGTCCGTGTCATAAGCAGCGTCTAAAACTGGATCAATGAGTTCTTTCATCTTATTTTCTTTAATCAAAGGTTTTGCCTGCAAGAATTCGCATACATCAGTGTTTGATGCATAATGGTCTCGGTCATATACTTACATATGACAGTAAAGCTCGGTCCGAGTAACATATTACATAATGATGGAGCAAAGCAAACCTACCCACATAACAATGCTTTGTTGTGAGCTATCTATGGCTTGCCTCCCGGTGATGAGCTCCAAGAGCAATACCCCGAAAGCATAAACATCTGTTTTTTCATCGACCACGCCATGCATGAAGAACTCAGGTGGAAGATAACTGTCATGACAAGATTCTGTTGGAAATTTTTATGTAATAAAAGTATTTTCAAAGGTTCAAAACACCATTTGGGATTTTAAAAAATTACAAACCCGAATGTTCCTTCGACTTTAGAGACTGTATGATGAGTCCATTGATCAGGTAACCATTTTGCCAGTCCAAAATCACATATCTGGAATCACTTTGGAAATTCAGCCTCAAGCTATACATATATATGAATGCATGCATGCATGCATGTATGTACGTACTTGAGCATCAAAGTCTTCTGAAAGCAAAATGTTTGAAGCCTTGATATCCTTATGGATAATTCTCCTCTGGCAACCTTCGTGAAGATAGCAAAGGCCTTCGGCAGCCCCTAAAGCGATCTTGAATCTGAGTTGCCAGTTCAGTTTCTCCTTTGGGCCTGTATATATGTATATATGCATATGAACAAGTTGACTTAAGCACTTTTAAAGAAAATCAAACTTAAGATCGGCCTAGGGGCAAAAACGAACCATAAAGTATTGATGCCAAGCTTCCATGGGGAGACAACTGAAGAACAAGGTGCATCCCTCCTTCAACTCCATAACCAATCAATTTAGCAATGTTAGGATGATCAACATGCACTATAATTCCGAGCTCAGATAAGAAATCGATGGTCATCTCATCCGATGAACCGCGGTTTAGCCGCTTAATTGCGACAAACATTCCACTTTCCAATTGCCCTTTGTAAACCTCTGCATACCCTCCTTCTCCTATCAGATTTTCTTCTCAAAGAAACACAAACATTACCAAATGAATGTTTATAAAAACTTAACATAAAACGATCGAGTCAGATGATGAAATAAAAAAAAATACCAGGGCTGAAGTTATTGGTTGCTTCTTGAAGATCCGAAAGAGAGAAGTTCTTCCAGGAAGATTTAAAACCGCCTAGTTCAGCATCAAGAGCTGAACATATATTAGGAAGTATGTCATCTCTAAATCTTATGCTATTTTTTCTAGTGAGCGTAGGCTTGACCGGAGGTAAGGATTGAGAAGTGGGTCCTCTTTTCAATATCCGAGAGAATCCGCGCCATTGAACAATCTGAGATATACCATTTTGAGATTCAGAGTATGATGAAACTCTGGCCTTATTACCAGAAGTTGGCTCGGATTCTATAGACTCTGCACTTCCTGTAGATTCTTCATTTGGTTCTATGCATTCTGTGGTGGTTGTCGAGCAGTCCTCATATTCTGTGCCTAACGAAGCAACTTCTGAAAATGATAATAGAATCCTAACATTCCATTAGCAAAGGTTGTTGGAATTTTTTATGATATTCAGACTGTGGGGATCAAAGAAATGAATGATCAAAATATACCAGCTGAAGTCGTGTCGGAGAAAGCGTGTCGATGATGCAGTTTCCGTAATTGGCGAAAAGGCTCCCATTTCCTCTTTTCAGGGGCTCCTTTCTTGACAGTTTTGCTACCAGCCGATGTTTCACCACTACAAGTGGGGAAATTAAACAAACAGATTGTTGAACAACTAGTTACACACACACATTGACAATTATTCTCAAGAATTACACAGCTGCATGCTTAAGCACTGTGATTGTGAAGAACAGATTCAAATGCCATTTATTTTGTGTGTATGTGTATATATATATATATATGTTTGTGTGTGTAAAAGAGACTTAAAAATATCAAACTTCAAAGCATAAACACATGGATCTTCTAAATTCTAAATTTTGGTTCATGGAAACTAAAAGACCCCACGTCCTTACAGAGCTAAAAGTTACCAATAAGGTGTTGGTTTTAAAGGCCAAAAGCTTGTGATAATCCTTGAAAACAATAATACAAATGCCATTTGCCTTACGAAAAAAATTAAACATGAAAAACTCAAAGTATAATTACATTTATATCTATGATCCTAAGTTCTAAATTCATATAAACAAAGAAGCTTCAAAACACAAACAAATGACAAATCAATTATTCAAATTAAAGTACCTTGAAGGTTCTTTGGTATCTCCCATGGCTTCTTCTGTTTCTTTTTTTTCTCAAACCAGGGAGATCTGAGAAGCCAAAAAAGAATTTACAAAGAAATAGAGAGGTTGACAATGGGAAGAAGAGTGTTTTCTTTTTGTTTCACCTCTGACGGATGGCCTGGTTTTTGTGCCTAAAAGTAGGCTTTCCCTCACTTTCTTAACATTTCAATCCATTCACTTTCTTTGGCATAAATCTATAAAAACAAAATGGATAATCAAACAGCTTTGATCCTATATTTAGCATGATGTTATGGAGTTTTGGGTCTTTGGAATGTGTAACAAAGTCAACAACAAAATCCATTCTTTTTCTGAGTTCATGCAAGTGTTTTGCTGATATGCTTCAGCCAACAAAACCCTTTTTCCTGGGTCAATAAGATGAACTTTACATGTTGAGAAAACCAGAGAATTTGTCACCTTTTTGTGCTGATTCAAATAAATCCTTTGAGTTGGATCCTTTAAAGTTCATATATGGAATGAGCACATAGAGTCTTTGAAGTTAAGTTCCAATCTTAATGTTCCAAACATAGTAAAATAAATTGGGACAATAATTTTATAATATTTAATTTAAATTAATCGATCAATAAATCAAAATCATTGCTAGATTTACATATTACGTCACCTTTTATTTGAGTGTTAATCACGATAAATATTTTTTTGATAAAATTAACAATCTTGAATTGTGATCGTTACTGGTGATTAACTATTTTTTTGATAAAAAATATTAAACATGGTTTAAAAGATCGAAGTTAAATAAATTAATTTTTTTAATGAGAATGATCGTAAAAACACACATTCTTTCTCTACAGGAGAATCTTCAATCTTTCACCTTTTATATCTTTGATTCTTGTGATTTTTGATGTCATGTCACAACTATTAAACGAGTAACATGGATGATGAGGAGAGATAAGGATACCCTTTATTCTACTGTATGACAGTCTTAATATACGATTAAAGAAATATTTTACTGAAAATATTAATATTTTTTAACATTTCCGGTAAAAGGCTATCTAAAATATTATTTTTTTTGCCGAAAATGTTAATTTCGTTACTTAATTTCCGGTAAAAAAATTAACATAATATCTGAACGTTCAATGTTAAATTATTAAAATTCTTTACGAACAGATAAAATAAGTTTGAGTCATCTTAAGGGCTGTTTGTTTACTTTAGAATGATTAAGCGCTGAATGATTCAAATGATTAATAATTCAGAGGCTTTGTATGAATTAGCTCTGAATGTGACATTTTGTTTGATAATGACTTTGAATCATTCAGAATGTACTTTGATGCTGAATCATTCAATACTGTTTTGCTGAATCAGCAAGCACTGAATCATTCAGAGGTACGAAACAAACGCGTTGAATGCTAAACGGTTCAGAATTCAACGCTGAATGATTTCATTCAGAGCCAAACAAACAGCCCCTTACTCTCCATTTAGACGTCTACTCTAACACAATTTGGATTTAACCAAATCATGACTCTTTGTTGAAATACACGAGATTTTATTATCAGGATCTTGTACAAATTATTTTATAATTTGAACCGTTATGAATTATTATTTTTAATTAAAAATAATTAATTTAATATTTAATGAATAAGGAATTTAAGTTTTTTTAATTAAGACGAATAAACAATAAGTTTAAATAACATAAAATTAAACTGTGTTCAATACTTCCAAAACAAATTATAATTTCATATTGCCCTAACATACAATTCATGACTTAACGTTTATAAAATATTTTTCACTTAAAATAATTTAACTCAAAATCATATATATAAATATATGATATAATAGATATTTATTTGCATGTATATATGAAGACACGCACGTTTTACGTGGTTAGAGAAAGCATGGGGCTTTAAAAAAAATCACTCTCTACTACACCAAATTTACGTGCAAGCATCTCTCTTTAAACCATTCCACGCTACTAGCAGTGTTTATAAATATGATAGGAATCGGGAGAAGTTGTTACATAGAATTGTCTTTATAAACACCAATCCTCAGTCTTTGCTAAGCATCATCACCAAAAACTTGTATGCTACTAGCAGTGTTTCGATTTCATAAAAAAGGCTAGATCCGGCAGCACTGCCGCTGCCTCTTCGGTTCAGGGAAAAAGTACTAGCCGGTTGGGGGAACCTTATCAAGCTCCTCCCGACAGGAGCTATCTTCGTGTTTCGGTTCCTCAACCCTATTTTAACCAACAACGGTCAGTGCGGCATTATAATTCGCAAGGCCCTCGACCTTGTCTTCATTGGCCTTTGTTGCTTCTTTTGTGTTTTTGCTTGCTTCACGAATAGTTACAGAGACAATAATGCTGTAGTTCATTTCGGTGTAGCCACGTTAACCGGCCTCTGGCCGCATCCGGTTTCGGATTCCGTCGACTCGTCGTGGTGTTTACTGCTTTTTCTCTGTTGGATTCCAACACCGTGAAGTGTTTGTATCCGTTTTTGGAGTCGGCTGACAGTGCTTTGGTCATGGTCTTGCCGCCGGTCCTGGGAGTGATTACGGGTGTGGTTTTCATAGTGTTTCCTTACACTCGACACGGTACCGGCTACCCTCCGATTCTGGCGGACAACAAGGACAACTCCTAGATTCCTTTGGCCATTGATGAATAAATGGTTACATAATATGATGCAGTGTGTAAATTTACGAGACAATTTATGCTGTGTTACAAAGATTTATGAATGGGAGTAGGATACTAGTATATGTTAAATACGAATATAATTATTCGAATATATTGATTTTATAATTATAATTTCATTTACATATTATATTATTTGATTTAGCAGACATAAAAATTATAATTACGACTTAAAAAAATTATGAGTCGCTATCATTTCTATTCAAAACTAAGAACAGCACTTCAAATTAGCATATAACATCATCTTCTCTGACACAAAAGGGCTCAAATAACCATACGAGGTTTTATTTTTATTTGTTAAAATCATACAACACAGCTTGTTCTTTCTTTCTTCCTCACATCGAAGGAGCTGCGTTACCCGGAACAAACTTGATTGAGACGCTGTTGACGCAGTGGCGTTCATCGGTCGGAACCGAGAACCCTTCCCCTTTAAAAACATGACCCAAGTGCCCCCCACAAGCTGCACATGTAATCTCAGTTCTTCTCCCATCAGGATCAGGCTGCAAAAGACATTGGTTGCATGTTTATGATCTGATCAAAGACAGGGATTCAGGAACTAGAAAGACTCACAGTTCGGTTTATGGCTCCAGGGAAACCCTCGTAGAATGCAGGCCAACCACAGCCGGAGTTGAATTTGGTCGTGGACTTGTAAAGCGGTGTCCCACAACCGGCACAATTGTACACCCCTTCCTCGGAAAATTTGTCATACTCTCCAGTTCCTCGCAACCTGTAGATGATGAATATGAACCATTATGCAGGTAAATTCAAGCAAAGTTCTATGGTTCCATGTTTGCCAAAACCAAGAGTTTAGTAGTCTTTAAGGGTAAATTCCAGCATTTTGAACTTTGGCATTTCCAGAATTTCATGTTACAAAACTGGACCCAGGAAGAGGAGACTCATGAAATGGAAGAAGATAACAGAAGCCAGTCAGAACATAATAATATAAGAAGCACAACTATATGTCATTGATCAAAGACCTTGTAACCCTAGAGACACCTCCACACCGACCTGCACAGTAGAATCTACTTCAACCTATTGGAACTCACAGTTTTCTCCATGAAGATGTCACGGTGATTGAAAATGGTGTAAAAATTGGCATCTCTAGTTAAACCATAATACGTAACCTACGTGGATGGATCATAACATCTTTTCCCACTCCCACTCCAATGAGGACCCATGATGCTAAACATCAAAATACATATCCACTTTTTAGGTGCTATTTTCTTCGAACCATTGGACTTCATCGTCCTGCCTACCAAAAGTGCTTCACCGGTTGAAGATAGCATGGACACTTATATATGGGTTAAACTCTACCCTCTTTAGGACAATGACAAAGATACATCTGACAGAGACTGGTTATAAGCTCTCTTTTTATTTTCTGAGGGCATTGTAATCCAATTGTATCAAATATTAAATGAATCTGAAACCAATTTTCTTCTAGATCATATAGAAACATTTTTCCAATTGAAACCCATCAGCTGTCAGCTTGGCAGCTTCATGGACCTTTCAACTCATCGATGTTTGTGCTCGGTTGGCCCCGGAAATTGTCTCTCATAACCATACACCTAAAGAGAGTATTGGGAGCGCCTCAAGTGCCCACCAAGAGGGGTTGGTCTAGGGAATACGATATGTAAACTGGAAGAAAAAATGGGAATATGCAATGGATGTGAAGACTCTTGGATCTAGGATTCTATTTTGTCTGTACCACTAACAGTATAGTAATTTTTTCAAGGTCACGGCGACACCGCAACTGCATCTGAAATATAAAATCATAGTTATTTTTAGCAAACAAATCATGACCTACCGCGACCACAATAGAGTGCGTAACTAGGAATCTAAGATCTGATGTTCTCTCATATGATCTTCTTATAATTTGTCGCGGACTATAGCGAAATTCTTCTTATGTGTCACTGGTTTTTTGGTATATCTGTCAGTAGTTTTTTCATTTGGGGTATTTCGGATAAATCTGTGTTCTTGTTTACTATCATCTACCCTTCCCTTCATTATCCGTAACACATATTAACCAATTACTAGGGTTCGACTAGCAACCGGCAGCCACAGATTTCTCTTGAAAGAGAGGGAAGAATACTCACAGACAACTATCGGCTACAAGAAAACTATAAACTATCAGCTACAATGTAGATGAAATCGTAAAATAAACAACAATTTTCACAGTTCAATCTGAACCTGATTTTATGACAAAGTCAACCCAAAAACACAATCGATGGTACAAATCAAAGATACCCAGATTCTAAAACAATACAAAGAATTGTAGTAATGAAATTGAATGATGGGATCGGTTTCTTACTCGGTTCCTTTTTCACGCAGAATCCGAAACTGCTCTGGGGAAAGAATCGCCCGCCATTCTTCCTCTGTTTTCTGAACAGAACCCGACGATGCACTCATTTTCAAAGGCGGCAATTTACAAAGCTCCCGTCTCTAACCGCGCCACTTATATGACGTGAAATCTCACGCGTGAATCTGGACTTATACTTCAAAGAATTTGTCTTTTTGCTGTTTACTCTGTAACCAGAAAATGAAATTGGACGGGAAATCGGGAAAATGGAATAAATTCATAACATTTTAGCTGGCCTTCTAATAAAGGAGGGAATTCCTAATAGGTACCTCCATTATATGATATGACTCAAATTAATCCCATCTATACTTTAATCCCTTAGTTCACATTAATCTTTTTGTTATGTACTTTTAGAAAGTACTAAAATAAGGATCAAATCTTTCAAAACAGTTAAATAAGTGTTTAGTCTTAAAATAAATAATAGTAATTTTTAATCTCTAAATTTTTTAATTTTTTAATTTGATCCATTAGTTTATTTTAGTACATATTATTCTTTGTTTTTAAACTTTTTATTTTTAATCCATTTATTGTTGTGAAAGTTTGATATTATAAAATTCTTTATAGATAAAGATTGTATAATGTTAAAAAATACCTCTAATATTTAATAAAATAATCACTTTGATCCCTTTTTTGAAATAATTTAGCTCAAATGTTTTATTTTAGGGTGAAACAGATTTTAATTGAATATAAACTATTAGTTAACTAACAATTAACACTTGACGTTGATGTTATATGTCAAATGTAAATAAGTGATGATGTCACATTATCACTTTGGATACGTAGGACTTGTCACGTCAATAACAACGTTAATTATTAGTCAACTAACAATTTTAATCCTATCTTGCCTCAAATTGAAATGTTAGGATGTCAAAGTACTTAGAAAAGTTAGGGGCTAATGTGAATATTTTATCAAACATTACGGGTGAATTTTGACATTGCGTCGAAAAAGACTAGGGATGATACTAAGAAAAGTTGTCAGTTCAAGCACTGAAAATTAATTTATCCATTTAAATAATTATTCGCTAAAAATATGAGCTTTTTGGGCCACCAATGGATACTATTACTATAATGACTCTAAATCAAGCCCATGGGCTCAGTATGAATATTTATAAGCTCAAATACAATAGAGGAAAACGGCAGCGTTAAAGGTTTTAAGGAAGCTTTGAAAAGCTAACTCTTTTGCTGATGAATCTGGGTTTTTTCTTCTTCTTAATTTACCGGTTAGCTCTTCTCCTTTCTTTCTAGATTCAAAAAAACCCCAAGATCACTGAGCTCCATAGTTAACCGATAAGAAAAGATCCCTTTTATCGCATCAGCAAGCAAAACCCATATTTTGAAAGCTCCCGATACGCCTTAAAAGTGCACAAAGAAACAAGGAAGAAACGTGAAAAAATATGTCAGGGTTTGGGAAGCATTCAGGTCCAACAAATGCCCCGAAATCTGCAAACCCTTTTCAGTTTCAACGCCCTCCTCCTCCTTCCACCACTCCCCCAATCAGACCCTCGAGGTATTTTGCTTTAAAGTTTGTTCATTTGAGGGATTTAATTTGATTTTCCAGTGTTTTTGTAGTTCAAGTTAATTATCTTTTTTTGTACTCCTTTAATGGTTTTTATGAGTTTGGGGTTTATGAGATTGATTGCATTGAATGAGAGATTGAAGAATGTGGAAAAAAATATGGAACTTTATGGTGTTTTTTTTATTAGGGTTTGAATTGTTATTTAGGTTGCCATTTTATTTTGTTATATACCAATTATACTTTTGGATTGTTTTTGTTATTGTTGTAGAGTAAATGAAGATGTAGATAGAGTCCGGTCACCATCGTCGACTTTTGAGTACTCCGGTCCTGGTGTGAGACCTTATCAATATGGTGGTGTCCAAAGGTAAGACCACATGCTATTTGTATCTTATTTATATATATTTATTTTAGTTTGCTGAAGTTTGATTCTCATTGTTTGAATTGCTTTCTTTTGTTACTTGTGATATGGCTCCACTTATGTTTACATATGAAATAGTTCATGTATAAGTTCTACAATCCATAAATAAGTTTTTTTTTCTAATGGATGTATTTTGTACTGTAATCTGTGTTTCATTTTTGTGACTATGAAATAGCAGAATTTATTTTGTTCCAAAATACTGATTTGATGGTTATTGTTCTCTTCCAGGCCTGTTGAATTATCCCCCCGGTGGGATGATGGAAAAATTTCCTTAAAATATTATGATGCCCAACTTCGTCCTAGGCCACCTGTCATCGCTTCATTTACTGCTCCACAAAATTCAGAAACTAGCTTTACTGCCAAGGCTAGATTTCAAGAGTCAAAGAGGACTAAATCACCTCCAATGGTACCTACAGATGAGACTGTACCAAGAAACTCCACTCAGACGATCCCTCAAAGGCATGTTCACACTTCCATTTTTCAGCTACTTGCATGAGATAGTATAGTCTTTCTGGATGTTGTAATGATTTGGTGCAATTTTGTGACATCTTAACTTGATTTTCCCTTTTCCAGTCCTACACGAAGCTTTTCATGATGATTTCCATTATTTTTAGTTATTGTATGTTTGCTTCTTGCTTTATAAAGGGCCGTCTATCAAGAGGTTGCTTGAAATTGGCATCTATTTTTTAAGCAATCTTAAGACTTGTGGTTTGAATGTGGAAACTTACTATCTTATTGAATATCTGGACTGATCATTTTGTCGTTCATCAAGCCAAGGATTTGGATAAATCAACTCCTTTAACTCTCTTCCGCATTTATGTTCTGTCATGATCTTGGGATTTTCATTGAAGATTTCTTCGTATGGTTGAGACTTTTATGCAGGCAATTTATTCGTAAGGATATGTTATGTATGTTCTATCACTTGCAGAATCCCTTGAAAGTGACAAGTTCTGAAAGAAGTTTTATTTTTATTGCAGGCCTTCTTTTTTTCCTCAAATGCCGCACAATCCAGTCAAGTTGCTAGCCACCTATTCCAATTTCCCAACTCGTCAGGACCGATCTGTGGTCTCACCTCAATTAGGTTCCCCTGACTACGGCAAAAACTTCATACATGAAGTGCCTGATATGCAAGCCCCAAAACAAGGCAAGTTGCCACCTGAACAATTTGATGACAAATTTTCTCAGGAGCATCCCATGTTTTTTCGCAATGGCTCTAAAAGGTGAGTAAGCAATATTAGCGGATGCATAAATGCATTTTTGTGCTTTCTTATGTGTTTGAAAGCCGTGAAGGTAAATGGTTATTGAATGTCAAACCAGTCAATATTGTATGGTAGAGTTGACTATAATTTGTTGGGAAATTGAGAGATCATGTGCTTATGCACACAGATTTCTTTTACTGTCTTGATGTTCTGATTCATCTGTCTTTGTGCTTTCTTCTTTTCATTCCCATTAATTTGGTTATTTACTCTTGCAGGCCAATGGGATCTCCTCCAAGGTTAGGACCGTTAGGTACCAAGTCAACTTCTCCTAGCTCTAACGTACCAGTCCGTCCAAGATCATTGCCTTTTGCGGGAAATGATCCTTCTCCTGCAGTGCGGAACATTGGGCCTCCAGTTTCTAAAAGAACGAGGTCTCCTTCAATTTACGATGATGAATTTCTTCAGGATAACTCCACCCCACTGAAGTGCGAAACATTGGGCCTTCAGTTTCTAAAAGAACGAGGTCTCCTCCTTTAATTTATGATGATGAATTTCTTCAGGATAACTCCACTCCTACTGAAGTGCGAAACACCAGGCCTTCAGTTTCTAAAAGAACGAGGTCTCCTCCTTCAATTTACCATGATGAATTTCTTCAGGATAAATCCACTCCTACTGAAGTGCGAAACATCGGGCCTTCAGTTTCAAAAAGACGAGGTCTCCTCCTTCAGTTTACCGTGATGAATTTCTTCAGGATAACTCCACTCCTATTGAAGATGATACTAAGCGGTAAATTTTAATAACTAGTAAATCCAGTTATTATATATTGCATTTATTATGAGTTCCGATGTTCCTCGTTATTGCAGAGAATTGCAAGCTAAAGCAAAGCGATTAGCTCGTTTCAAAACTGAATTGAATGAACCTGTTCAGACGAACCCTCCAAATTTTGCAAATCAAAGATTGTCTACGACTAGATTTCAGCACAATGTGGAAGAGAAAAATAAACATGTTGGGGAACAGTCTATGGATTCATCCGGGGAGTTCTTGAATGACACTGTTTTATCCGATTTTGACGGCACAGAAGCATCCAGAGTCATCATTGGGTTATGTCCAGATATGTGTCCGGGTATGTTCCTAGACTCCTGAAACCTTGGAGCAAGCAGTTATCAGGGATATTCGAAATAATACTTCGAGATAGATATTAATAGAAATGTTGATGGAGAAACTATTATTCCTTGAAACAAAGAAAGCCACTTTTTATTGTTCTTCTCTTTCGGTCTTCAGTTTTATCTAATTTCTTGTGTCTTGAGAAAACAGTTATCTTATTACATATGAAATAGCTTTTTAATGGACAACAGTTTCCCTGTTGATGTGATCCACATGTTTCCATTTTCAGAGTCTGAAAGGGCAGAAAGAGAAAGAAAAGGTGATCTTGACCAGTACGAACGCTTGGATGGTGATAGAAACCAAACAAGTGAATTCCTTGCTGTTAAGAAGGTAACGTGAAAAGAAACTGCTTGTCTTTGTAATTTGTGTGATAAAGAATGATTAATATGCTCTCATTTGCTATACAGTATACTAGGACAGCTGAGAGAGAAGCAAGTTTGATACGGCCCATGCCAGTCCTGCAAAAGACTATAGATTATCTACTTGATTTGCTGGATCAGCCGTATGATGACCGGTTTCTTGGAATATATAACTTTCTATGGGATAGGATGAGAGCAATTCGGATGGACCTGAGGATGCAGCACATCTTCGACCATGGGGCTATCACTATGCTTGAGCAAATGGTATGCCCTTGCAACTGGATCTTTTTTGTGGTGATTCTTGAATGCTTATGCATGTTGACTAAAAATCAACCCAACAAAGTATCATTAGAAAAAGCTCATTTCATTTACATGGTTAGATGGAATGTGTCCTATTTACAATATGCTTGTGACATATTTACATAAATCATTGATAAGGTGCACATTATAGTTGTCCCTGTTAGGGCTTTAAATCTTTTTATTTTCTGAATTCTAGTTAGCTGTTGTGGGAAACATTTCTGCCACTATATGTGTTGTTCACTTGTAGCATGATACTGCCGCCGCCTAAGCTTCTGCCTTTTTTATTCCTTGAACCATATGGCATTTATACTTAGAACGATGAACTGATAAACATAGCTGTTTTTTGGTCTTGCCTGCATTTTTGTTTGCCATTGTTTACTACCACACCTAAAGCATAAGCTGTAACTTGTTGCATATGGAGACGAATATCTAAATGTGCTCTCTAGACTAATTAGTGGTGCCAATTGCTGTGTTTGTCAGATAAGGCTTCACATAATTGCCATGCATGAATTATGTGAATACACCAAAGGCGAGGGCTTCTCTGAGGGATTCGATGCACATCTAAATATTGAGCAGATGAACAAAACATCAGTCGAGTTATTCCAGATGTATGATGATCACCGGAAGAAAGGAATTAATGTTCCAACAGAAAAGGAGTTTAGGGGTTATTATGCACTTCTCAAACTTGACAAGCATCCGGGGTATAAAGTAAGTCAATACAAATGATAAATTAATTATACAAACTTTGTTAACTTTTCTTTGAAAATAATTACTCTCCATTAGGTTGAGCCTGCAGAGCTCTCACTGGACCTTGCTAAGATGACTCCAGAGATAAGACAGACACCAGAAGTGTTATTTGCTCGTAATGTAGCTAGGTTGTTACTTCCCTTAAAACTTTCATTGCCACTGGGATCTTGAACTTGGTCTAACTATTTAAACTCTTCGCACTTCCAGGGCTTGCAGAACGGGTAATTTTGTTGCCTTCTTCAGACTTGCAAGGAAGGCAAGCTACCTTCAAGCATGTTTGATGCATGCACATTTTGCAAAGGTACGCTTGAGGAATTATTCCATCTCGCACCTCTCCCTTCAACATAAAAATCTCAACTTCCTTGTATTTGCATTCATTCTATACTGTTTTCATATTTGTACCATTTCTTTTGTTTGCTGCTTGGCACCAGAGATGGTGTTCTGGATGATCATGCCTGCGGGAGCAAACGCATTTCCTTTAATAACACATTTATGCCATATTCGAGTCTGACTAAATTGTGTCATTCATGGAAGACATTATGTCTCAAATCACCTATAAATTATAACATTTACTCTTATGTACTGCATAATTATTTTTTCTTTCCTCTTTTCTATATTCATTGGGGTTTGAATTATGGTGCTTTGATTAGTTACGGACCCAGGCTTTTGCTTCTGTACACTCTAGTCTCCAGAACAACCAGGGTCTCCCTGTTACCCATGTTGCCAAGTGGCTTGGGATTGAGGTAATAATCTGTAAAACAGAAACTACATTTTATTTTCATAATCATGTTAAGTTCCTTATTATCTTATGCTGCTTTTGAACTTTGGATTTAGGAAGAGGACATTGAAAGCATTTTAGACTATTATGGTTTTTCAATAAGGGAATTTGAAGAGCCATATGGTGAAGGATGGTTCATTTCTTAATGCTGAAAACGACTATCCTACCAGGCGTTCAAGACTGGTTCTTCGAAGACGATCTAGAACAATAGCTGGAGATGTTGTAGCTCCTCATGAAGTGACTCCCCTGCCCATAGGAACATCAAAAGAGAGCCAACTGGTAAAGCATATACACAAAGACCAGAGAGTCAACCGGTTAAAGCATATATACAAAGACCAAAGGCCTTACCTTCTCCTAAAAGGAAGAGTTCCATTTTAGCAGCCGATGAAGAAATGTCTAATTCTAAAGTTGCTCCTTCTCCAAAGTCTAGTTTGCAATTGCATTCTGCTACCAAGACATCGAAAGGGTTACAACAGCTCCAAGATGGTCATATTAACTCTGGTGCCTACAAACCATTTAATTTCTCTTTGGAACGTAGTTCCCCTAGGTTACCTCCAGCTAAAGTTGCAGTTATGGAGAAAGGAAACAATGATGCTCTTTTCACCATATCGGGTGACAGAACAAATGTTTCTGGCATGAAACAAGTGCCACAACAAATTTTTTCACAACCATCTCAGGCTGAGAGATTGCCTAGTGGTAGATTTGATCTCCCTGCAGAAAACTCCATACCTCGAAGTATGGCTATTGATGATGTAAATTCTCTGCCAGTGAGATCCCCTAGAGGCAAATTTACAAACAACTCGATACCTCAAACTATGGCTATTACTGACTTAAAATCTCAGTCGGAGAGGCCAATTGTCAAATACAATTATGCTGTGGAAAATTTGGAGCCTCAAGGAATGGCAGTTGATGATCTAGGAGATAAACCTCGGGATAGTCATCAAGAACTCGAGAATCGAAAAACAGTAGCGAATACTCGACATAAGGAAGTTGCCGAAGCAAAACTCAAGTTGATCCTGAGGTCTGTAACATTGCCAATCTGGTTTTAGGTGCCACATTGTGTGATATTCTTAATGGTATCTTTCCTTTCAGGTTGTGGAGTCGACGTGCTGCAAAACAAAGGGAATTACGTGAACAAAGGCAATTAGCAGCTGAAGCTGCACTAAGTTCATTACCACTGGGAATACCACTTCGGCAGAATAATAATGTAAGGTTCTTTTCTTATTCTACTGCAATTTTCAGACTCTAAATGTAACTCGTTCTGCATTTTGCTTATTATTTTCTCTACAAGTAATTCTAGTTCCAATTTCTTATTTGAGAAGTTTACATTGAGTCACTGCCCCTCTTCCTCCTGAAACGGATAGTTCTCGGTCCATTACTCGTGACTGATATTTTATTCATCTTCTTTACATATTTTTATGAGTTTATTGACACATATTGAATTAGTTTCTGTTATTTCATTGTGTTTATTCTTATTCTTTTTATTGATCCTTTGTAGCAATGGAACACATTTGGTGAGCTTGACTTTGATCATGTCATGAGGGAGAGATACGAAAAATATGAAAGCTCATGGTCGAGGCTGAATGTTTCTGATGTAGTATCGGGCATATTGGGTCAAAGAAATCCGGATGCTAAATGCCTATGCTGGAAAATTATATTATGTTCTCCCGAGAGCAAACAAGAAGATCAACTGGGGCAGAAGAACCAGGTTGGCCAATTGGCAGCAGGCCCATGGTTGTTCTCTAAGATTATGCCTTCTGCAGAAGATAATAATGATGAGGATTTAGCCATAGCATCTCCTGGTTTGTCGATATGGAAGAAATGGGTTCCTAACTTATCTGGTACCGATCTGATATGCTGCCTAACTGTTGTGAAGGATGCAAGTTGTGGTGATCTAAACGAGGCCACATCTGGGGCAAGTGCAATATTGTTCATCGTATCTTATAATATTCCATGGAAGCTCCAAAAGGCCCAACTTCATAATCTTCTGAATTTGGTTCCTCCTGGTTCATGCTTACCACTTCTAGTCTTAAGTGGTTCTTATAATGTTGAAGATTCTGATCCTTCCTCAGTTATAGCTAATGAATTGGGGCTGCATAACATTGACAAATCACGAGTATGTGGCTTTTTGGTTGTTTTCCTTGTTGGTAAGCAGCATTCAGAAAGCTCGAATGGGTTTCTCAGCGATGAAAAGTTAAGGGAAGGGCTGAAGTGGCTAGCCAATGAATCACCTCTCCAACCTGTTCTTAACGGTGTGAAGACGTGTGACCTTGTAATGTCCCACTTGAGTCCGGTTTTGGAGGAACTTGACGAGATGGGAGATTATGAAGTAGGTCCAAATCACTGCATCTCAGTCTTCAATGAAGCATTGGATTGGTCATCGCAAGAACTTGCTGCTGCTATTAAAGCAAATCCTACCAACTGGCCTTGTCCGGAGATTATGTTTCTTAAAGATTTTAGCAACGAATATTTAGCTGTGAAGTTATTCTTGCCAAGTGTGGGGTGGAGCTCGACAGCAAAAATTGCACCACTTGAATGCGCGTTGAAAGATTGTCAACTTCCCCGTTTTCCGGATGATATCATTGTTGCAAAGTGGTTCCAAGATGGGAAAATATATTGATAACCACATATTACTACTTGAAAACTGCTTGGCCGAATACCTAACACAATCGACAAAGATGATGGGAATTCAATTAGCTAAAAAAGAGACATCCGTGATGTTGCAAAGAAACACACGGCTTGAGCTGCGCAACTTGAGCTACTATCTTGTGCCAAACTGGATCACAATCCTCCGACGGATTTTTAATTGGCGACTTTCAAGTTTATCAACCGGGGCATGCCCCTTTTCTTATGTATTGCAGATTTATCATGTACCCCCAATGTCGGCAGAAATAAAGTTGCAACTTGAAGTGACACTTCACCTCATTGTTTGAGTCATCCATCTCTAGATGAAATACTTGAAGTCAGCTGTAGTCCACTCAAGTCTCGGAGGATTAGTTTTGATCCTGAACCTTCTCGGGTAGAGACAACCTTCCACACTGTAGTTCAAGAGGCGACTACAACCAGTAAGTCCCAGAAATCATTGGATAAAGATGATAATTCTTCACAGGAGCATGGATTGGCAATTGCAGATGACGTTGCTTGTACGACCAGTAAACCAAATGGTAGTCACGGTAAAACGATGGCAGCCATAGCCAAAACGGATAGATTAAGCGAGTTGTTGGTGAAATGTGACATAGTACAGAATAGTATAAGCGAGAAGCTATCAATATACTTCTGATATTGTTCCCATTTGTAATTTACATTTCATTAAATTTGAGCTGGTTTTGTAATATTATCTCTCTTCTAATGTTTCTTTTGTATGATGAGAAATTAACAAGGCTTTGCCTCTATTGGCCAGCATGCTCTCTCTACTTGATAACAGTCGTAAGTCTGTAATCAATAAGAACCACATTTATAAGTTCCTCTGGTAACTATGGTGGTTGATACTGTATTTATATTAGATCTTGACAGATCATTTCGGTTCAAATCTCAATAATCACTATAACAAAACATAGATCATAAAGCCTGTTAATTTGTCATTATGCAGCTTATGTACCATAAAAGTCATACATTTGACATATCTCACATGAAATTTGCAGAATCCATGTAGGCAGTTAAAAAATCAAGGTTATATCTGTGTCTCAGTGCTGGAAACAACTGATCTTTAGAGGCAACAAAATGGAGTTCTTCCTCGGAAGTGTATTAACATGGAAATAGCGTATTTCCAGATCCCCGTTCATTTTGTGAATGTCAGCTTTTACCTTGCTATAACATAACTTACCTTCAATCTCGAGAAAATGGTTTCTTTTCTACACACGTTCGGGTTACTAGGTGCAAGATCACCGCCAAGGGCACACGTTTGCTTGACAAATAGTGTTATCAGCAAAACCAGCAAGATGTCATGGGGCCTTGAGATCATTCACCATGAGAATCTTGCACCAAGAAAGCAACTTCTCTGTTTCGTTTTGGCTACCCCACATCTAATTTCACAGGCCTCAGCAAAACCAGCAAGATGTCATGGGGCCTTGAGATCACTCACCATGAGAATCTTCCACCAAGAAAGCAACTTCTCTGTTTCCTTTTGGCTACCCCACATCTAATTTCACAGGCCTCTGCCGCATCGGAGATGGAACAACAATCGCAGCGTTTGATTCATTGAAACACTCTGTTGGAAAGACTGCTGTATATCTGAAAAATCACTTCTTACTGAACCATATGTTTCCGACTCCGAGACACTGCACATATTGAGACTTCCCTTTACCGACCTCATAACCATTGGCCTGCAATCCACTCCGCTATCTGTGGCACCAGCACCCGACTGCAAGAAATAAAAAAGGTTAGTTAATCATAATGAAATTCATGAAGTAAAATAGGAAATCAACACCTATACTGTGGCCACTACAATATTTTTTAGATGAAGGTAATTACAAGTTGTATAAATTGCAAAGCACAAAAACAATCGAATTCTCACTTTTCCTCTTCTTTTTCTTCTTCTTTTCTGAATCAAGATAGATTATGTAACTCATACACGTAATTCATTGAGGTTTGGCATTAAATTAAGTGCGAAGCGGAACTTAGTGATCTAAAAGATCATACTTTAATCCTTCTATGAAGGAATACACCAGCACCAGAAAAATCTTAAGTCATAAAGAAAGCTTGTATTTTTATACATTTTGAGAATATTGCATACATTTGACAAGCCTTTAATCTGTACAATGATGATTGTAATATCATCGGTCCGATTTTCATTATCCAACCAAAGTTTGTAGGATTCTCCAGCAATTGCAGCACATGCATCCCTCGGATCTGTGTATGCCGATGCCTATGTGAAGAAAATTAAAAAAAAATTGTTAAGGACGTCTCATCAATAGTTCAGAAGTTCACTAACGGTACAAAAAGCAAAAGACATTGGAAAACTCTTTTCCACTACCATTTCAGCATTTACACTTAAAAACAAGTTTACAAACATCAATTTGCAAGAAACATGCATTTAAATCTAAAGTAAAGACACTTCATCAGTTGCTTGCAATCAAAATGCAAATGAACAACCCTTCTAATGTCAATAAATGAATGATGGAAACACAGTATTATAAACAAGAGGGAAACATAATCGGTAATTGTATGAATCATACCATGTTGACGACAGTTTGGCTTGGGAGAAACTCGAAAACTCCATCACTTGCAACCACAAAGAATAGATGATTAGGTGTGAGCCGAACAACTTTAATCTCGGGAACAGCAATCACACCAATTGTCTCCGCTGTACTATCACCTACACTCCTAGTAAATGCAGTCCCAGGATACATCCCATTAGGAACCCACAACCTTGGAGGATCACCACCATGGCTTTCTTCATTGCCCCAATTTTGAACATTCGGGTCTTTAAGGCCTTCCACTTGATCAACACTCAAGACCCTGGCACCGCATAGCTTCACCCTTTCAAACTCATCTTTCCTAAATGGTGTTTGATCCTCGGATAAATCCTCAGCCAAAATTCGATCCCCATCCTTAACAGCAATCACAGCTCTCGAATCCCCCACATTAGCAACATAAAGTGTATCCCCAACAACAAGCACAGTTATTGCTGTGGTACCACTCATATAATCATCAATCTCACTATTATGTAACTCAGAATTTGTAGCTAAAAATGCTGAATTATAAGCTTTCCAAGGATCATCCAACAGTGAGGAGTCACTAGATAGCATCTCTATAAGTCTATCCTTAACAAAGTTGGAACATTGAGCACCGTATTGACCATGTCCATCAAAGACACCAAAGAAATGAACATTTGGGTTACCTTGAATTTGTGTTTTGATGCAGAAGCTATCTTGGTTTTCCCTCTCCACCGTGTCTGGGTAGTAACCATGCTGTGTTAAGGCTGAGCACTGCAAAGTAAAGTTTTGAGATGGAACAGGAATTAACTCCAATGACCTTTGTGTAAGAATGTGTTTGCATTTGAAAGGTTTCTTTACTTTATGGTGACCTGAATCATCATCTGATGATGATGGACATCTGGAACAACACTTTCCAAGAACACATCCCATTATTTCAAATCAAAGTTACACACACACAAAAATGCAGCTTAAATGTTTGATAAAAGGCCTAAAGAAACTGAATTTGAAATCAACGGAAGCAGTAGAAGGATTCAAACCATAGGGCAAGTGGAGAAATGGGTTTTTGTAAAGGTAACATTTTGGGTATTTTCAGAGGAAATCTGGTTATAAACATGCCGTAAAGAGACGAAAAATGGAAAGCAATGAACAAAGAGAAACAAAAGTACCCAGGAAAATAAACAGCAAAAGAACTAATTTTTATAATGGCAATGCAAAAGCAAGAGCGTGGGGCTTCTGAGAGAAAGAAAAGTGAGAATAAACCCCAGACCAAGCAAAAGAAAAACAATGAAATTCTAAATCAAGGATGGGGAAAGGATGGAAAAACACTGAGGAATTAAGCGATGCTTTCTTTAATACAAGGCAAGAAGAAAAATATTTATTTTTTGAGAGAAAACAGGGATCAGTTACCCGAGAGGGGAAAAGAAAGGAATCAGCGAAGGAATCCCAAAAGAAAAAAGGGCAAAGGGAAACCCTAAAACTGAAGGGAAACGTGGGGTTGATTGCTTCAAGTTTTCAAATTTGTCGAGAGAGGAAATCGATAACTGTGCATGGGTGAGTTTTGTCTTTACCCCGGGAAAAGCAAGAACAAAGAAATAAAAAGAGAGCGAGAGAGAGAATATTTAACAGGGTAAACTACGCATTTAGTACCCAAACTATCATTTTAGTTCCTTTTTAGTCACCTAACTATTATTCTTTTCAAAACCATGCCTAACGTTATGTTTTAGTTTCATTTTGATCACCCACTGTTAAGAAATTAAAAGAATTGCTAATGTGACATTTAAAAGATTAATGATGACACATCAGCATCATCATTAATTTTTTAACAATAGATGACCAAAATAAAATTAAAACATAATATTAGATATGATTTTGAAACAAAAAATAGCTAGGTGACTAAAACAAAATAAATGTGATAATTGGAATATTGAACGCACAATTAAAAAGTGAGCTTGTTTTTATTTAGGCATAAATGACAAAAAACAATGCTCTTAATGTTTGATAATAATGTCACTTTGGTCCCTATCTTTTTTTTAACAAATTAACCCCAAACATTTTATTTTCTACCAAAATATTCTCATTGGATGAAAATCGTTAATCAACTATCGGTCAACAAGTGATAATGTGATAGTCTGTCATGTCAAAATAACTAATAACATAACAATCTACCACATAATAATTTTTTTTTTGAAAATAAAAATAAAATATGTTATAAATCATATTTATATTTAATTATTTACGATGGAGTAAAACGTGTTATTTAACATATCTAACTTCAACATTCATAACCATCCCTTGTCTAGGTAAAGTGAGGTATTGGTTAGTTGAAATAGGGAAAGTCATGATTTTAAAGTTAGTTGAAATCATAAATCTGTGATCGTTTAATCCCCACCTACTGAATGACACTTAATCCTCCACTAATTTAGTGTTACTCCTAAAGGTCCAATGTTCCCTACCAATACCCTTATGTAGCAACCTTAATGGCCTGTTTATACTACAAATCCCATATGGGATTTCACATTTTTCATGGGATTTTTACCTAAGAAATGTTCCCAACATCTAACTATATGAGCTTCATGCCTTTGCTTGGGGATATCAACAACTCTCACATGGAAGATTCTTCTTTGTGTGGTAAGCAAATTTCTCACCATTCTTTTGTTTGTCTTGTGTTACTAAATGCATGTGGCAAAATTACTTAGAATATAAGTTTGTGCTCTATCACACATAAATATTGTGTAAATTCTTCGTAATTTAAGTCTTCATATAAATTATGTTCGAATGGAGCAAATTATATAGATTGTTCAATGATTGATTCGAGATTAATGTTAACTAAAGATTTGAACATAACATAAATTTATTGTCACTTTACTTGTAATTTAATCGACTCGTAAATTTTTTATATTAATATTTTTTGAATTATTTGTTATTAGTAAAAAAAAATTCGTAAAACACTCAAGTTCAGCAGTTGTATTAAATGATAATAAATGACAATTGAAGTGTTATAAATAAAAATAAATTTTATTAAATTTAAAGACCAATTTATAATAGTTTTACAAGTTTAATGATGTTTGCAACTGCATATAAATTTTGATGAATTTAAATTCTAAATATAAATTTTAAAATGGTCATTGCAAGAGGAGTAATACATTTGGATAAATTTAAGGACTATTTTATAATAATTTGACATATTTAATGATTGTTTTATATTCGAACAATAAATTATAATGACGAGTTTATAAGTGTTTTAAGAAATTAATTATTATTTTATAATATTTAAAAATTGGTGGATTTAAAAGATCGTTTCTAACATGGTTTAATGATATATGATGTACTCGAACTTTTCTATAATGTGGATCAAATATATTATCGATGTTCAATTTGATCGATTCGGTAAATCTATTTATTCTGATTTTTTTAAAAAGGATTAAATAAGTAAAAAAGTGAAATTTTCCATATAAAACCTTTAAAAAATATGAGATTTTTTTCCATATATTCCCACTACATATAAACTTCAAAAATATTTTAGGCGTGACAAATCTAAGTGGGGTGCATTATAATGGCTACACCCCACCATTTTGATATTGCCACGTGTCCCTCTTGAAATCCCACCACTCTTTTCTTCTATCTTTTTCTACTAAAGGTTCCTCACATTCATCAACTTTTTCAACCAATCAAATTCAACCACGTCATCATATTAGTTTTCCCCGCCAATTAAAAAATTTTACTCTCTAAACTAAAACCCTTTCACCACCTTCTCTTTTTATATACCTTTCTCGTTCGTGTTGGTGTTGTTGTTTTTCCGATGTTATTTCCGGCGATTTGTCGAGGTGAACGTTTGGAAAACAACGATACCGGCAGCGGGGAACTCATCCATTGCGAAAGTCCGGCATTTGAGACCCAACGGTTCCATAGCACGCGCCACCTTCGTCCAGACTTCACGGCTGTTACTCGTCGTGGAAATCGAAACCGTCGCCGGCTTGAAAACCTGAACAGATTTCTTTAAGGTCTCGACAATATCAACGTCGTCATCATAAATGGAGCCGACGCACTCGAAGCTAGCGTAACTGTAACCGTCTTCAGGCGTAACGTGAATCGTCGAGTAACGATCGCCGTCGACTCCGTTCATTGAGTAACCGCAAGGATCGAACGCGAAATCACAAATGAAAGCATCAGGGTTTATGTCGTCGATCCCCGTCAACTCCGTCATCTCTTTTCCCGCCAAATCCCCTGTTTTGCAATCAACGGTCTTTTTGAAGAATTTGCGCGCCAGATGGCGGTCGAGCTCCGTCATGCAAACTTCGAACGTGACGTCGGAATTAAGGTTCCGACGGAGATGGTGATTCTGGTCTGCGGCGGTGAAGACATGCCACGAATACGAAGGGTTCTTCGACGGCATAACGGTGGCTTTCCTGTAAACAAGATTGTTCGGGAGATTTTCCTCGATGTAAATGACTTCTTCTTTGAAATTGGTATGGGGAAAAGGCTGTGATTTGGGGAAAATGAAGCTTCCTCTGGTGTAACGACACTCGCATAATGTGAGGTTAAGCTTGCCGGCGAAGTGAATCAATGGACGAACCGATTTGAGAAGCTGAGTCGTCCCACAGGTTTTGATGATGATCTTCGTCGGATAAACGAACAAACTCGATTCCGAGAGGACATAAGCATCGAAGAAATGGTTGCCGACGGCGGAGACGACAGTGCAGTGGACGGCATGGAGGACTTGTTCAAGTGATTCAAAATCAATTAGCCTAAGACCCATGTTTTCCAACGGATCATCACCGAAGAAATGAAGCTCTAAACGCTTCTCAAACCCTTCAAACCCTGAAACCGCCATTGTTGAAACCTCGAAACAGAACACAAGAAAACAAAAAATACCCAGAAACAGGAAGGTGAAAACAGGGACAAAGATGGTGGAAATCGAGTGATTGGAGAACTACAGGGTGAGAGAGAAGCAGGGGAGATATGGGGTTTTATAGGTGAGAGTTTGTGTGTATGTGTGAGAGAGAGAAAGAGTGGGGGGAGTGAAAGGGGCATGCGGGTTGAGGCAACCGAGAATCATAATTGCAGGCATAATGAAGGTGACGAAGATGATGATATTTGTTTGTTTTGTACATTTCTTGTTTCTGTTTTGGGGTTTCGATTTGATTTTGTGCAACAAATCTTTGTTTTCATGGAATTAGGAGGATATAGTGTTGTACAAAGGAACGGGAATTATGCCCACGCGCATGCATTTCAGGTTTTTGTCTTCCACGTCTATTTTTCATAATTCATATATTTTTTCTTAGATAAATATAAATATAATCGATTACGGTAAAAAAAAAATTATACGATTTGAATATAAGATCAGATAACTTAGATAAATGATACTAATATATATAATTGATTACAGTAAAAAATAATTTATATAATTGAAAAATAAAATAAAATAAAATAAATATAATTCAGTTTAAGAGTTCAAAATAAAATATCACATCATCAATATTTATAAGGTGAAATTATTAATTATGCACAAAAGAAAATACATAAAGGAATCAGGCGTGGCTACTAAATAATTAGAATATCCTTGAAATTAGGGGGAACCCCCCAATACACAAACAATGCCACATCATTTTTGGGGAGGGCAAAATTTCTGTACACAAATTTTGATTTAATAAAATTGTTTATTTTACCAAACTAGTCAAAAGAGTCATTAAAATTTATCGATAGGTTATAAAATGGTCATCAAATTTATCAAAACTTATCAATATGTTATAATATACAATGACCATTTTGTAACAATTCACTAAGTTTAATAATTTTTTATAACTTTCAAAATTTTAGTGGTCAAAAAGATTATTTTAACAACCGAAGAATATTTTTAATTCAAGTTGACTAAAAGTTCGTCTCGACCTGCTTATTGTCATCCTTATATGCAAGTTTTTCATTAAGTTTAAAATCAAGTCGGGCCCAACTTTATTTAAGAAAGAAGCTTGCTCGATATTATTTTATACTCATCCACGAGACTCAAACGTATAATCTTATTTAAAGAATTCCAATCTTTTTAATACTTGATTCGACGAGTATTAATCACAACATTATTTCTAATAATGTTCGGTTCAGATCGGATCATGTTATTTTTCCAATAAAAAAAATAGTGAAAGTTTAATGTTACTTTAGAGGAGATGATCATGGTGTTTATTTTTGTAGTGTTAATGGAAACTTGATGTAATTAATTAGTCTTGGCTTAGCTTTTGGAAGTAGTTTCGTAATTGACTTGAACACTTTACACCAAAAGACTACAATAATAATCCCACATTATAAGCCTCCAATGAACCTTCCCCATACAAGTATACAACGGAGTTACATGAACAAATAAATGGTAATATACAAATGAAATATCATAATCAGATGCTGCAAAGGTTTATTACGAGATTATCTTTTCAACTCAGTTTGGTTTGTTCATAACGTCATAATTCGAATCTCTGACATAATTTAAGAGATTTAACGTTCATCTCATTAGATCAATTAATTGTTGATAAGAACTAAATACATATATGTCAAAGTTGAAACATAGTTCAACATTTTAATTTAACTGATTACATTTATATCCATATTTTACTTTGTTTCGATTCAATCCTTCAAGATATGGTTAACCCTAACCATGAATGAGTTTTATTTGATTCAATGTTATAAGAATTGAATCAACGATCGAATTAATCAAATTTTCAATTTTTTGTATCCGATTAAATTATCAATTTTTAATTCGACCGATTGATCTGATATGTAATGAAATACAAAGGGGTATAAGACAAGAAAGGGAGGAGAAAGTGTGGAGACGCAATGATGGGTAACGGTGAGTTTACAATCAAGAAAATGCGGAGAGTATGGGCGGCTGGCATCCCCATAGGCCCCATTGTGACCACATTCCCACATCTTCAATTGCACGCGCACCCACCAAACTCAATACACTACCTCTAACCCTAATTCGAATTTATCTAAATAAATTTATTTAAAGATCAAGTTTGAATTAAATTTTTTTATTTTATTTTAAAAAAATTATCAAAAAATAGTATGTCGACGAGTTAGTAGGTCCCACTATCTAACCTTTTTAGCCTCTCCCACCTTTTGCCCCAAACCCCAATATCATGTAAGCCGAAGCTAAGCCCCAATGGTTGGTCCCATTACACGTGTTCAATATGTCCCCCGACACCACCGTGGCCTGGTCCCATCGTAAATTACCATCATCTAAGATGTACCCTAACATCTTGGCAAACCTTGGGTCCTACTTTGATGTGTGTGTTTTTTTCCTTAGACAAATGGTCCAACACAAGGTTCTTTTAAGACTTTTTTTAGGAGTTGCCTTTAGCCGCCACATATGCTTTGCAAGCTCACCATTAGCCACGCACATGAACCATACTGGTGCACAAAATGCAAAAATGCAGCCCAACAATTAGTGGGTACTTCTTGAAAAATCGAAAAAAGTTCGGTTATAGAATGATACAAATAAAAAATTATGTGAAGTTTATACTTTTAGATTTATTCGATTCTTATCTATCTTTAGTTATCATATATAATCTCTATAAGCACCATTTACTATCTTATCTATCTTTAGTCATCGTGTATGGTCTTCGTGTGAACCACTTACCAGGCACAAATGCAAGCATGCAACCCAAAAAACAATGGGTAGTTGTTCTTTCTTCTTTCAAGGCATTAATGAACATGCTTGAATTTATCTGATTGTCAACATATATAATTTTCGTGCATATTAATTGTCACATACATGAAAATCGATGTGCTTAGAGATATAGAACCTAAAATTTAACGGATGATCGTATGTTTCCTTTATTGATCACTAATAAAAGAGAATTATAAACATAGCGGATATCGATCCGTTCGAATCTATCCAATTGTCACACCAAACTTTAGCCACCAATGTGTCTGCGCACACCATTTGCCACACATGGACCAAGTAGTGTGCCGATCCAAGTATGGAAAGCTAAAGCACTAGTGAATAAGACTTTACTTGCTGGTGCTACTGTACCATGCGCACAAAAATGTTGGTAAAATTGTACAAAAAGGCCCACCACTTGTCACTATTGATAAGTTAGTGCCCCAAAAGTGCTTTGATTATAGCTTATGGGGATATTTCATTTTCATTGGGGTATATATCACAACTTGTCAACCAATGCTTTGTGGGAGGGAAATATTGGCTTCAATATCCATTTTAGTCCCCTAACTATAATCGTTTTTCCAATTTGGTATTTGAACTTTTTTGTTTCACTTTAATGCTTGGGTTATAATTTTGATTACATTTATAAAAAAAATTATCAGTTTTATATTTAAATACTTAATAAGTCCTTATATTTTTACACTTAGATTATTTAAACCATGTTAATATAATCACAATTCTATTCATAACTTTTCTATAAGGTGAGACTGAAGCTTCGAACGCCTCGCTAGCTTTCGGGGTTATGTTTGGTTAAGATATGGATACAACAACGAGATTGGATGTGAAAATCTTGTTGGGAAAATGGTCCCAAAAGATATCATACCTCGTAGATGCTAAAGATTTTTGAGGCAAACAAGACATGTTAGAAGAAGCTTTTGTTTCGGTTTGTGGGCACCAGCAAGCATAACATAATCATAATAATATTGTTGAAAAGTTGGTCCTTCAACCCCATGGAAGTATGAGTGACAGAATCCATGCCTCGAGCCCTAAACAACAAAGGAAAGGGGCATTCATTTCAATATTCCCAAGCCCTATACACGCCACATAATTCCTCGTGCTATTCTTGTTGCTTACCTTTGCTTTCATCTCTTGTACATGGAAAACAATCTTGGCTAAATTACTTTAGGTCACCCAACTGTTACTACTTTTTCTTTTATTTTGCCCATCAAACTTTCTTTCTTTTTATAAAATCATCACTAATGTTATTTTTTTTATTTTGATCATCCACCATTAAAAATTGACGACAACGTTAACAATGACAAATCCAAAAATTTAAGAATGAGGATCCAAAATTTTAATATTATTTTCTTAAAATAATAGATATGCATTTTTTTCTTAACACATTAAACTAAATTTAACCATGTTTCAAAAAAAAAAACGAAGATCACTTGACCAAAAACAAAGATCACTTGACCTCCTAGGATTTAGTGCAGCCACCCCTAGACGTAGATATAACTTTTTTTTTATCAAAATAGAAATTTTCACGTCATTTTTCTCTCCACGTCAATACTATCACGTGTCATTTTTTAATAAATTAATGTTCTTCATAGTATTTTTCTCTCCATACAATAACACACGTCATTATTTTTCACATATTATTATTAACTTTTAACGAAGGTTATATTAATAATAATCTTATATGAACAATTAACGATTAAACTAAAAAAATGATAATAATTTAGGGATGCAATAATCTTTTAGTTTCTACGCTGACGAAAAAGACAAGGAAAATGAGCAGAAGGAATATGCAGAATCTTTTGTTGTTGGTTAAAAGAAACAGTAAATAATTTGCTTCACCACGCAATAATCATTTCGATGATTCTGTCACGATCTCATCTTAAAATTGTCGTGCCTTTAAGATTTGATTTGATAAATGAATTTGATTTTATAATTTAATTTGATATTCTTAAATTTCTTATTTTGTTAATTGAATATACAAATTGAATATCAAGATTTAATATGGTATGTTAATTATTTTATCTAATTAAATATTTGAATTTATTTAGTTTTCCAAATAATTCGTTCAAGGTAAATTCTAAAATTAAATGGCTTAATTTACGCTTAATATATATGCTAATTACGTATTGAAAGTCTGAGACTCCACTTATCAGCTTTGCTCATAGTCCAAGTGTCAAGTAATGCTTGCCGGACCGCTAGTGCTAGTTCCAGTGTTTTTCCTATATCAAATGTCCTTCACTTTCAGCCTTTTGGTTCAGTCGAAAAGACTATTCATCGGTTGATAATTAGCCTTCCCTACAAATTTCAAACCCTCCTCCACTAACACTGGAATCTCCATTAATGGAGATTATAGGTTCACTCCATGTAAATCATACAACAGAAGGCTTGATACATGGAAAGTAACTTTAAAAAAAAGCCATTAAATAAGCAGACAAGGGAAAGAAAACCTTAAAAATTCACGTTTAGTTAGGTTGTTTGAGATGAGGCCAGCTTTGGTTACTGCACAGCTTTGATGTCATAATTAGATGTCTACACAGAGATAGGAAAGGACTGAACTGGCTCTTCTTTTCGTTCTAGAGCTTACCTTCCATTTCTCCACCAGGACCTTCTTTATGCTGGGGCAACTGGAAACAAGGGTAGCAACTACGGCAACTGTTATGTTCGGGCAGTACACCATGTGGCATGACTCGAGCATTTGGCAATTTTTGACGAGATGGGAAAGACCAATGTCAAATCGCCCAAATTCTGCCATTAAAAGGAATTGATAAGCGAGTTATGAATCTGAATAGCACGCAAAAGAAAATAACAATCAGTTTGAAGTTCGCCTGCGTTTCGGATAAGTATAGGAAGAAGCAGCAAAATTATAAGAGCAAAGAATCAAGCTGAAGAGAAGCTTATCTACGAAAAGAAAGAGGGAAAGAGAGAAGGCACACCTGGAGAACACTCGCATCCAGGTAAACGAGTTGAGGACATCCTCTTGCAATGGCTAAAAGATTAGATGTATTGCCGATATGCATACACCATATTTCCTAGTCATATATGCATACACCATATTTCAAACTAGGACTGTAAATAGACGAGATAAATCGCAAGCTATTCGAGTTCGACTTGGTCAACACTTGATTCGAATGAATCAACTTGAGCCTAAACTCGACTCGAGTTCTTAACGAGCAAAAACGAACTACTCGAAAAACTCGCAAACAACTCGAAAAATAATATATTAAAATTTTAATTTTTATATTGAATTATTAATAAAATTATCATTTATATGTTTTCTTTAAAAAAAATTACAGTATAAGATTTTCATGTACTTAAGGTTTAGGTTCGAGCTCGAGTTGGAACTTCAACCAAACAAAGTCTAAGAATGTTTGAGTTCAAACGTTTTTGAGCTCGAGTCGAGCTTTAATTTTTTATTTCAAGTTCGAGTCGAACTTGACAACTTTCAACTCGCATGCTTCCGAATCAAGTCGAGCTCAACTTTGAACTTTTGAGTCGAGTAGAGCTCAGCAATACTCAAGCTCGACTCGTCTCATTTATAGCCCCCTATTTCAGACCAAAACAACTCAAAAGTCAACTGACCACATGAAACAGGTGTGGACAAATAGCATTATCACACAAGGCTGGAAGGAAAGTACAATGAGACACGCCTATCACAAAATCGGAGACTAAGATCCGTGAGAGAGTGACAATTCTCACCAACAGCAAAGATTCCCTTGCTTCCAACCTATTGGCATGAAAGGCATACAAGTTAAGGATTTATATCACAGTATGGACATTGCGGAAACTAAAAAAATAAATGATTGCCAGCACCTAAAAGAAGCAAGTCTACAAATACGAAGACTCAAAAGATGAGGCATTTAGACATATGTGAAATTCTCACTTCAAATATTTTGAATCAAAACAACATTCTTTAAACAATAAACCACCCAACTGCCATTTTACAGAGGATCGAAAAGCTTCCTGCATGAGACAGTAGCGAGATACAGGGAGGAGAGCGGGAAGAGGAAGAACATTCTGTAAAATCTAGATTATATATTTTCTCATTCCATTCAACTGGAAAAGTCTTTTCCTGATGAAGTCCATACAAGTGGTTCAAGTATATACCAGGTTGAGGAATATTTCCATAAATATGTAAGACAGACAGATAGTGTGTGAGAGAGAGACCTCATAACATCTCCTAATATGAAGTTTCTTTAGATTTCGGCAGCCTTTTGCTATACTGCAAATGGCTTCATCGCCAAGGCTAGAGCAATCTACCAAGTTAAGAGCTTGCAAGTATTTACATCCCCTTCCAATTTCAGTAAGAGCAAAATTACCAATCCTTTGGCAGTATAATAAAGCCAACTCAGTCAGGCGCCTCCACAAAGTCAAGAACTTCAATTGATATAATTCAAAATTTTCAGAAAAAATAAAAAGAGTACAGTAAAAACCCAATCAGAGGGATCGTATATGAAACCTAGCTTCAGCTGATAGAAGATAAACATAAAGGCAAGGGAAAAAGTCAGTAGCAAGGGAAAGCAATAGTAGGTAAACATACGGGCCGGATTTCCCCACAGACTCCAGTCCAATGGTTCCAATATTCTGGCAGCCATTGACTTCAAGATGCGTAAGTTCAGCGCAGCCAGAAGCAATTGCCTCTAGACCCCTGTCACCCAGGAAATTGCAATCACTCAAAGTAAGGTTTTTTAGCTTCTTGCACCCTTTGCCAATAGAACAAAGACCCCTGAGACATGAATGAAGCCCATACTTCAATAGTCATGCCATCTATATGAAACATAGTAAAACAAAGACACTTGAATTACACAACAGAACCTTGAGAAAGATCCACTTTCATTCCTAAAATGAATTAGAGGGGGAAAACTAATTGGCCGAATAGCCTTCAACAATACAATTCAATTAGTGGTATTCAATCATATTGCATTAGAAATTAGGGAGATGTAACGAACTCGTCTGTAAACTGCTGGAAACTGTATAAGGCCAACATTTCCAATGACAAACAAGAAATCCCCACAGCCATCAAAGCCCTGCCTGTAACATTAATACATTGTAACTTCAATACTTTCAAAAGAGGACATCCTTGGGCAATAGCAATGATCCCCTTATTGCTGATAAGCTCAGAATCCAATGATAAGGTCTCAAGAGATTTGCCATGGGACCCCACAGCTTCCAGTGACTTGTCAGTTATTCTGCCACAGGCAGCCACACGGAGTGATTTCAATGATTTCCCACACTGGGTTGCCAACTCAACCAATCCTACATCGGTCAAGCTTTCACAGAAACGCAAATTTAGGTCCTCAAGTTGCTTGCAACACTGGCCAATAACAGCTAGACCTTGATCCCCAACATAACAACCCTAAAAGAAATAAGCAACTTAAGTTTGCCTGCTGAATTGAATTACTCACAGAAAATGACAGGTTTCATCATGTTGCTCCAGTTCTTTTTCTAGAATTACCCATGCCTGACATATATTCAACATATCCATGTTGAGTGCACAACTATTCAGATGCTCCCACTAAAGTCTAAGTAACATTAAAATTCATAGATATGGTGATGCATTTTAAGTATTATTGACTAGGCACCAGGGACAGACACTTAAGAGCACTGTATTTACATCAACAGGTAGTAGAACTAATTTGTTGAAAGAATAAGCCATAACCAATCAAATTGAGATACATAATAGAGTAAAATACCACCAAAGCCTCCCCTAGCATATGACGAATTACCTGCAAATCCAAGGATTTTAAGAATTTGCATTTCCGTGCAAGGGACATTATACCAGAACTTGTAATGTTAGAACACCAGATTAAGCTCAACTTTTCTAGCTTAGAAAACCCATCAGCAACCGTGGTCAAACTGGCATCTGTCAAACAGAATGATTCACAATCCTCTTCTTTTTCCGGACTTTTTTCGGCTGCATGGTGTAACTTGAAAGATGTAAGCACATTCTCAGCTCTGCGGCGTCTTTTACCCTGCACCTAGAACAATTTAAACAACCTCATTAACATTCCTAGCGCTTGGTCACTTTTACAGCATTTTCTATATTTAAAAAATCAAATAAACGATTTTCCTTTCACGTAAATAAATTTAATTATACAATTTAAACTACCACGTTAACATATCTAACATTAGTCTCATCTACTACATTTTTTTGGAAATTCAAATAAATGATTTTGCTTTTACATAAATCAATTTAATTATACTGTAATCAGCTCTGCCACGTCTTTCCCACTGGTGTTAGAACAATTTATACTATAATCAGCATTTTTTTAATTCAGTATCCTTTTATATAAATTAATTTAAGTATACTTCAATCAATTTTACAATCTCAACGAACAATTAGTGAGTACTTAAGATAGATCAATCTTAGCGTGCATAAAATCCTGAATTAATTCTAAAAAAATAAGCAAAATTCGACGAATCTGAGATTAGATTTACCGCGTTAAAAGGCAAAGTAATCGATAATCTCTCGTCGATATGAACGGCCTTAACATTGACGAATCGTTGAGCAAGGAACTTGATGAAAACGTCTGGGCTCCCGGAGGCGCCGATTCCGAGGTGGAGCGGCTAACCCGTTCGAGGCCAAGCCACCGTTTGCAGACGAGGGAACATGCGTCGTGGCTGGCTTTGGAATCTAGCAGCCGTAAGATCTCCAAGATCAGCTCGTCGGGAAGACATGTGTTGATCCAATCATGGCCACGCATCGAAGGAAAATCGAAATGAAATTATTTGTTTTTTTTTTTGAGAAAATTATTCTGTTATTGATGAGGAAACGAAGATAATTCAGAAGAGTAAATGGAATTTTTTAATTGGTTTTGTTTGTAAATATTGTGGGAAATCGGTGGAGGCGGTGGCGGGTAAGCTTATATAGGAAACTTGTCTTTTCCGATAATGCCCCGTTACTCTTTTATTGGTTTTATGCATGATTTGATCCTTGAGCTATAGTCTGTTTCTCACTTTAATATTTTTTTTTTGGATAATTAAAATTTTTATTACCCAAAATCAAACCTGTACAGCTCGAGTTACAAAAGAATCAGAGTTTTGAATACAGTGATCAACCTATAAAAAAAATGAAGATCACACTATATTCCAATTCTTAGAAAGAGTAACATTAACATTATCATTTCTATTGAATTTTCTATTACTTAAGTGCAGTACAATTATGTCTCTGATGGCATGGAACAATTCTTGAGCATTCTTAGATCGACATTGGAACATTCGCTCGTTTCTTTCATCCCACAACAAGTAGATAGTGGCATTAAAAGATAATTTCAAAATAAAAGTGAACATTGATTTTCCTTTCCAAGTAGTGGTAGCCCTTGCACAAAAAGCTTCCCATGAACAAAGGTAAAAACGAAGCCCTGAAAGAGAAAAAACAAATTTCCAGATGAAAATAACCATAGGACATAGAAGGAATAAATGGTCCCTTGTTTCCAGAAGTTCATCACAAAAAACACATTTGTAGTCAATGATTAGTCCTATACGGTGAAGTTTTTCCCTTGTAGGAAGCCTATCAAGCAAAACCATTCAAGAGATTAAACTATGGTTAGGTATATGCATTGGAAACCAGACTAATTTCTGCTAGGGGACAATAACTCTCTTTACACTAATAGCTTCCCAAACTGCTATCATTGTCGTAGCTCCAACATCCAGAACTGGACGAGCTTCTTGTTTCAGTTTTAGGAGTTTCCTTAAGCTCCGACTTTGTGATGATTGGATGTCAACATTCCAAAAATCTTTGTCCTTAAAAATATAGCATTTGATCCATGCTACCCAAAGAGAACCCTCACATGCAAGAATTTTTTTTAATGAGAATGAGCATACAAGCTTTGTTTCATGTCTTCAAATCTTTGATTCCAAGGCCTCCATCTGATTTGAGGAAACAAATATTGTTCCAGCTAATACGAGCTCCAGAAGCTTTTTGGTCAACTCCTTTCCAGAAAAACCTTGAACATAATTGCTCAATTTTTTTAAGCACTGACTGAGGCAGGAAAATTTGTATACACTAGAAGTTGGTAAGGCTTGATAAAACAATTTTTATAAGTTCCATTCTCCCTGCATAGCTAAGGAATCTAGAAGACCATTGATATAGCTTAGCTTTAATTTTATCAATGAGAGTAGAGCAGTCCTTCTCTGAATTTTCCTGGTGACTAGGGGATGCCCAAATATCTAACAGGCATATTGTTATTTTTAAAGCCACTAAGCAGATTGATTTCTTCCAGCTTTGGGACAAACATACCAGCAAATAGCTCATATTTGGAAGCATTGAGTTTAAGGCCAGACATTTTATAAAACATATCAAGAACACTATTAACACCAATAACAGATTTAATGTTCCCTTTGCAGAAAATAAGAATGTCATCAGCAAATGAGAGATGAGTGAGACCCATTTTTTTCATTTAGGGTGATACCCAAAGATTCCTCTAGTGGCAGCTAAGTTTAGAAGCTTGGAGAGGACATTCATAGAAAGCACGAATAACAAAGGAGAAAGTGGGTCTCATTGACTAATTCCTTTACCTCCCCTATAGAATCCAACTAAAGTCTCATTAAAATAAACAAAGTAACTAGCAGTTGAGTAGCAAATTTCAATCCAAGTGATGAAGATTTTAGGCAGTCCAATGGCTTTAAGAACAGAAGAAATAAAGTCCCAATTAAGGGTATCAAAGGCTTTATGAAGATCAATTTTCAATGAGCATCTAGGGGAAATGCTCTTTCTACCATAACCTCTAACCAATTCTTGAGCATGTAGAGTATTATCAATAATACTTCTACCTTTAATGAAACAGTTTAGTTGAGAGTAACCAAATCAGGAAGAACATGATTTAATCTACTGACCAGAATTTTAGTGATTGCTTTATACACAACTGAGCAGCAGGAAATAGGTATATAGTCTTTCACTTTGCATGGATTAAGAATCTTAGGCATAAGAGCAATATAAGTAACATTAAAAGTTGAAGAATGAACAGATCTTGAAAGAAAAATTTAATGGCAACAATGATATCATGTCTAATGATGGACCAGAAGAGTTTAAAGAAAAATGATGTATAGCCATCTGGGCCAGGGGATTTGTCGTTACCTTGACTAAAGAAAGCTTTCTTGATATCATCCTCAGAGATAGCTTTAACAAGATCATTGGAGTTATCCTCAGTCAGAGTATAGTTCAGTAAGTCTTTCAACAGATCAGGGACATTGCTTATCACTTTAGTATCAGCAGAACCAACTAAATTGTATAAGTAATTCGAGACCTCAACTGACATAGAATCAAATATTTCCAATATGTTGCCTTGATCATCAATCAAAATACGTATGGTGTCTCTCTTATGTTTAAGAACCACAGTTGAGTGGAAAAATTTAGTGCACTTATCTCCCTACTTAAGCCATTGGATCTTAGCCTTTTGCCTTAAGAACAAATTCTCAGCATCTTCAAGCTGCTTTAGCTCAGTTTGCAGTTGGATTTCCTTATCAAAATTGTCCTCTCCACTTAAAGTTTTAATTTGTTGATGTTCAAGTTCAAATTTCTTCTATAAGACTGTGTTTCTTAAATCAATATAGTTGGAACGGTTGAACTCTTTAAGATTAACTTTTAAACGTTTCAATTTCGAAAAAAGAATTTGCATTGGATTACCAGTTGTTGGGCTGCTCCAAGACTGCTGAACAGTTCTCATGAAATCAGGATGATTCGACCAGAAATTAAAGAACTTAAAAGGCTTTGGCCTATTAGCTTGAATTTCTTTAGAAAGCCAAACCAAAGCTAAGAAATTGTCAGAGATGCCAGGAGCTAGGAATTCAACATGAAAAGTCAATAAAGAGTTAACCCAAAAAGAGTTGGCTAAAACTGTATCAAGTTTCCTAGCAAGGAATGAGTTTTGCTGTTTATTACTCCAAGTAAAAGATGGACCATAGGAAGAGTGATCTATTAAATCAAGATCAAATAACACTTCTTGAAAGTCTCTCATGTTAGAAGTGATAATAGGACCTAGGAGATCATAATCAGAACTCTCGAAAGGATTTAAGGTGATGTTGAAGTCACCACCAATGATCCAAGGAGTATGGCCTATCATGACATTCAATTCTCTTAATTGTTGTCACAATTGTCTTTTCACTACACCATCATTACTACCATACACTGCCGATATAACAAAGAAGTTGCCAATGTGCATTCCCTTAATAGACAAGCATTGATTAGAGGATTGAATAATAGAGAAGTCAATTCCGGATTTCCAAATAATCCATATTCTCCCATTATCAGCATACTCATAATTAGTATTATATTTTCACCCATTGAATTGTCTGTAACACCTCTAACCCGAATATGAGTCTGAGGTGTCACATTGACTTTTCAAACTTTGATACTTAACGAAAAAACAGGGAAATTTTAAACTTTCATTAAAATAAAATACGTTAATTTACATAAAAGAGACTACAAAATAGAAAATCGATCAGAGCATTCGTAATTCACAACTTATTACATGCCAACATTGTATACACAACCAAAATACCTACTTTGTCAATTACTCCTAATCTAATCTTTTAGTAATGATGTTGTTGTTGCCACTTCTATTAATGCTCTTCTTGTTTCTTGGTACCTACGTGTAAGTCACTTACACGCTAAGTCATAGACTTAGTGAGACAATAAATGAACATGTAACAATAGATTCATGAATATGCATTCTTACCATTTGATCATGACATTTCAATATGCATGTATATATATTCCACTATAACATATATAATCATGTCATGCATATATGAAACTTATCTTCTTGTATCACTTTCACTTTAATTTATCTTTCAATTGTCTATGTACATTATTGAGAACAGAGGTACGTGAGTACATTGAGGTTGTGCACTAATGTTGTCACCGCAGCTTGATAAATTCCCACTAGGGGCAGTAAATATTTGTCCCGAATGATTACTACGTCCCGAAGGACCACTGGATACGTCTTGAAGGACCACTAGATATGTCCCGAATGACTACTATAAGCCCTTGACTCTTGGCATGCCAACTATACCTACAGCTCTCATATCATATAGCATGGGCTTAAATATGAATATATTTCTCATTTCATATCTCTTTCATCATTTTTCATATAAACACATATAATCATTTCCATTATTCCACATACCTGGATTGTTTATCTTGTAATATCATTCGCTCACATAATATCATTTTAAAGCATAATAAATTATACATGATATCACTATAACAATAATATATGTATGCATGTACATGAGTATAAAATCTGAATGCAACTATCAGAGATAGACTTATCACAAGTCTTATCTCTATACACTTTAACTATAAAATGCACTCACCTTAGCCTTACTTGTTTTGCCTCGATCCTAATCCTTCGTTTGTTCCGGAACGAAATTACGTTCTATATCTAGAATGGTAATACATTTATATATATCAATAATCCAATTGGCTGTCCCTTGTTCCCATATGTAATGGGGTAAGGGGGAGGTAAGATAGTAGGCTGCCCCCAACACTAGATTGAGAGCAGTTTCCGTAGAATACCTCCAAATTATGAAATGCCATCCATGGGACTCGATCCCACGACCTCAAAATAAGAACCTTATACTCTACCAACTGAGCTGGATGGTCATCTCATATCAATAATCCAATTGTATACTTTAATCTTCCAATTTTTACACTAAAGAAAATACCAATTTCATTTCTTGTATAAAGTAGGTATCGATACATCCCTAACTGAGATATAGATACCCTGCCTATGGTATAGATACCCTGCCTACATTCTGGAAATTTGCATCTTCAGGGGGTTATCGACACCCCTATATGGTATCGATACCATACTGACATTATGTAATTTTTCGTTCAAGAGGAGGTATCGATACCCTTTCATATGGTATCGATACCCTATGACCAAAAATTATATTTTGAGCACGAAAATCACCTTATTTCTGCTCAAACACTTTCTATTTCACTTCTTTACATATACTTAACTCATCTACTCATACTTGAACTCGTTAATACTCATTCAATACATCATTAACTTCAAAATCCACTTCTCTTTGTAGAATTCAAAAATCATACTCAAATTTCAATATGTTCTAAATCAAATTCTAATACTTCATATTCTTTAATTAGGTTGATGACAAGTCAAATTTAACTTCAAATTCAACTTATCAACACTTTTCCATAATTTCATATAAAAACACATTTTCTTTAATGTCTTATAACTTCTTCATCTTTTGATTATAAGACAACTTAAGCTTTCCTTAAGCTTAGTTATCATCTAATGATCAAAACTCAACCTTTAATTCAACAAATAAACAACAAAATAGAAAACTCACCTTTGCTCTAGCTTGGTTCATGATGGAGAGAAAGGAGAAGGATGAAGAGAACTCTGGAAACTTTGTTTCCTCTCCTCCTCATTTCTCACGTGTATATATCTCATCCTTATCATATTTTAATTTATTTATTGGTTAAATGACCATTTTGCCCTTTAATACACTTAATAATTACTAACAATCCTTCCAGATAAATCATTGAACTATTCAATCATCCTACTTTAATCACCAAATTCTGAAGTTTTACAATTTAGTCACTAACTCGTATTTTGGGATGTTACATTGTCTGTCAATAATACTTCTAGATTTGTCAACTTTAACCCTTGTTTCTAACAAACAAAGAAAATCAATTTTGTTCTGAATGGCTCTTTTGAGAACTTTATTCTGTTTTTGAGGACAATTTAGTCCTCGAACGTTCCAAAATCCAACTATCATTGGGGAGGGAGTTCAGTAAAAACCCATTTACTAATAGCTACACTGTTCTTTAGCAGCTGTAATCTTTCTTTCTTTTTTTGTTTTCAGTTCATTAATTACAACAGTTACACCTAAAGAAGATTTTGAAGCTTCCTCTGTTGATTTTCAAGAGAAGTGATAATTTCATCAGCCCTACTAAGAATCTCGAATCTATTAGTTGAACCAGATAAAACAGTTTTGGATTTAACTTTAGCTGGTCTATCCCTGCCCCTTTTGAGTAACTCCTGAGAGTTGTCATTTTTTTCAGTAGTAGGAGGAATTGAATGTTCAAAACCTGTTAACACTGGCATAACAAGCTCATTAGGGTCTGTTTCAGTCTCCTTACTAACAGTTTCTTTATCACCACTAATTATACTATTTTTTATTGAGTCTTGTGGTTTGGGGTACTGTTCTTGTAACATTTCTATGCCCCTACAATTTTCTCTGACTGTATAACGTTTGAAGAGTCTACTTTTTTTTCTTCCAAACTTGCGTTGTAGGAGGAGCGTGTTTAGCATTCTTATAACCCTTTTCAGAATGGCCGAAAGTTTTACAGACCCTATAGCGAGGAGGCAACCAAGGCACCTCAATTGCTACTGTAACTGAGTGTCCATCACTAAGAGCAACCTCAATAAATTCAGGGATATCATCAGAAACACCAATTTCAACATAAATTTTGGCATACTCGAGGTGGGTTTTAGCAGCAGTAATAAAATCCATACTAAGGGGATTTCCGAATGCACTCGCTATATAGCTAAGTCCAGTACAAGAGTATAGTTCGAGTGGTACATTGTACAGATGGACCCAAATAGGTAAACAAGAGAGATCAAAATTCAATATGTTCAAATTAGGTTCCCATTTACGCAGAATCAATGGTTTATTCAAGATATGCCAAGGTCCGTTTTCTAACACCCAATCTCTATCAGATTCAGTAGCAAACGAAAATATATAGAGGTTATTTCCAGCGATGTTAACCTGAATGTTGTTTCCAGCTAAAGCTTTCCTCCAAAGATTATCCACAATTCGTTGCATTGACGCGAATCTGGGAGCTGCTCCTAGAAATTGGCCCACGAGAGAAAGTTTCCACTCATAGATTCCATAATCGAGCACTTCAGGAGGAGGATGAACAAATTTTGCCCCATCACGAACCCTAGGAGGGAAAAATTCCAGAGTTTGACTCGCAGTACATCTGAAGAGCTTTATCCAGTTCAAAGGGTTTTCACTCATGATGAAAAGAACACTAACAGGAAGGGAAAAACGTTAAGGCACCGAAGAAAAAGAAGAAAAACACCGAAGGCACGACGGAGCCTCAGAAGCCGTTAGGCCAGCTAACGTGCGTCAAGAGAACTCTAAACGTGAGCCGAGAAAGAAAAAGATTGATTCGTATCTATTTTTTGTTTCCTCACTTTAATATTGATTTATATTTTTGTTTCATTTCAATATATTATTTTTATTAACATATGGTAAGTACAAGTAGTATATGTTCAAAAATAATTCTCAATTATTTGACATTAAACGCTAAGACTCTTGGCATTCATGGTACTCGAATCCAATACCTCAAAGAATAATAACAATTTATTTACCAAAGATATCACTTGATTTGTGTTTCATTTCAATACTTAAATTATCATTTTGTTGTATTACATCCAAAAACTATCAGTGTCGAAGAATATTGTATTTAGGGATAAATGACGATAGCGAAAAACTTTTTTTCTTTGACAAACTATATCAATAGTCATTAATCTTTTTTATTTTGATCATTAAATTATTTTTTTTATAGAAATATCACTAATATTACATTATTTTCTTATTTTGATCTCTTATAATCAAAATTTAACGATAATATTCATGTATATCTTTTTTATTTTTAAGTAATTCTGTGACACAAATCATTATTTTATTTTTAGGCGAAACTGGGTTTTGGATGAGTGGAACCCTTGATTTTAATTTGTCTTTAGTCTCCAATTAATCATGTTGTTATTGTTATTATTTTAATTTTGATGTTTCTTTAGCTATGTTTCTATGATTGAATTTCTGGGTTTCTCTTAATTTCTTCATCAAATTATTGTATTGTGTTAAATTTTCATAAGCTTTTTTTAGCATATTTGAAGTTGTTGAGCTTGAACGATCTTAGCTGTATTGTGATGATCTTCTCCTAACCATTTTTTTAATGAACACAGTTCAGATAATAATTAGAGCAGTGGAGAATGTATGAATCCAATGGTTGTAAACGCCTTCCCGGTCGGTATAGTACATGTAATCAATAGTGGTGGTAGTGTAGAAGGTGAAGAGTTGAGAATGGAACCGTCTGTGGGTTTGGAGTTCGATTCGGCATACGAGGCCCGTGAGTTCTACTGTCTGTATGCAATGCGTGTTGGGTTTAAAATTCGAACTGGCTAGTTGTATCGATCGAGGAGAGATGGGTCGGTGTCGTCTAGAAGATTCGTTTGCTTAAAGGAAGGGTTTCAGCTGAATTCGAGGACTGGTTGTCCTGCTTTCATTAGGGTGCAAAGGTGTGATTCCGAGAAGTGGGTTATTGACCAAATTCAGAAGGATCATAATCATGAACTTGGGCTTGAAGGGGAAAGCAGTCCGCCCGTTTTGCAGCAGGGACCTCCTGTTGTTACGAAATCGTTGGTTGAAGTGTTGCGTAGGCCGAAAGTCAAAATGCTGGGGCAAATAGATAATGGACGACCGGGTATCATAAATTTAAAAAAGCAAAAGCGAGGTGGAGATGGAAGGCAATCTATAGCTGAACCATATACAGGTCTAGAGTTTAATACAGCTAATGAAGTATACGAGTATTATCAAGTATGTGCTGAAAGTGTTGGTTTTCGAGTTCGGATTGGTAAGTTGTTTCGCTCAAAGAATGATGGATCAATTACTTCCCGAAAATTTGTGTGCTCAAAGGAAGGTTTCCAGCACCCATCGAGAGTAGGTTGTGGGGCATTTATGAGGATTAAGAGGAAAGATTCAGGAAGCTGGATGGTAGATCGTCTTGATAAAGATCATAATCATGATCTCGAAGTGCAGATGGCGTGCCAGAAGAAATTTTCCACAGATTCGAAGAAATTCATAGCGGAAGAAACCAATGGCATGGTCTCTATGGATCTCGGTGAAATGAATAAGAGCAAGATTAACAAAAGAAGCCGAGAAAACAAAATTGGAACTGATTGGTACCCTGTACTTTTAGAGTATTTTCAAACCAGACAATCAGAAGATACCGGATTCTTTTATTCAGTGGAGGTTGACAACGGAGTGTCATTTGGGCAGATGGCAGGTCTAGATATTTATGCAGTCAATTCAGTGAAGTCATTATTTTTTATACTTCATACAGGAAAAGTAACTATGAGGTGCCATTTGCCACATTCGTCGGAGTAAACCACCACAAGCAGCCAGTACTTCTTGGATCTGCTTTGATTGCTAATGAATCGAAGGAGTGCTTTACTTGGTTGTTTCAAACATGGTTTAAGGCAATGTCTCGGTGCCATCATAAGTCGATTATTGCCGATCAAGACATGGCCATACAGCAAGCAATCACCGATGTCTTTCCTGGTGCTCATATCGCTTTTCCTCGTGGCAGATTAGAGCCAAGGAGCGGGAGAATCTGCTGTCAATGCTATTGAATTCAGACACGAGTACGAAAAGTGCATTTACGAAAGTCAGACAACTGTCGAGTTCAACACCACATGGAATTCACTTATCAAAAAATACAACTTGAAGGGAAATGTTTGGTTACAACACATGTACGATATGCGTTAAGGCAGGGTTCCGTTGTATTTACAGGGCAATTTTTTTGCCGGCATCCCTATAGGTGAAAGTGTCGAATCATTCTTCGGCACACAGGTAAACGCCAAACTCCACTAAGGGAGTTTATTCCCCGATACGAACAAGGACTCGAACAACGACGTGAGGATGAAAGGAAAGAAGATTTCAACTCTTTCAATTTATAGGCCTTTTCACAAACAAAAGAAGCAATAGAAGAACAGTGTAGGAGGCACTATACTTTCACCATCTTCAAAATATTTCAAGACGAGCTTCTACAATCCTACAGTTATATTGGGATAAAGACTTACGAAGAAGGGACGATTTGCCGGTACTTGGTAAAACGGTCCGGGAACGAGAACGACAAACATGCCGTTACCTTTAGTGAAGTCAACCTGAGTGTTAATTGGAATTCGAAGGTGTACTATGCAGACATGTATTGAAGGTGTTCAAATTGTTGAACATAAGAGAACTTCCTTCTCGATATATCTTACCTCGGTGGTTGAAAAATGCCGATTACCGCATCCTATGCGGTGTCGAGTCCGGTGTAAGCTCCCAAGAACTGAAGGCAATTATGGTCTGGAGTTTGAGAGAAACAGCTTGTAAATATGCAGAATGTGGGACAACGTGTAGAAAAATATAAACTTGCATGCGAGATCATGCATGAAGGTGGAAAAAAGCTTTATTGATCCCTGTATGTAAATATGTATCTATGGGGTTTTCTCGGATTGTGATACTTAATTTAGTAACTCTTCTTATACAATTTGCGAGTGAATTTTTCATATACATATTTATTCGTTTAAGATTTTTTATGTAAAAATTGTGTAATTTGCTATTATTATTATTATTATTTTTCATAATATTAATACTTATAACTTTTATAAAGTAGCATTTCTTGTTTTATTTTAAAAAAATAGAATATTTTTTGAATTTAATAAAATAATTGAATTGTTTTTTAGATATTAATTGAATAATTTTAAATTGTAGGCACATTTTAACCCGACATTTATAATTTTACATCACTGGAGTCGGTCCAAAGCCCAAAACGCATCGTTTTAACCCATATTTCGAAGGGTTATTTTTCTTAATTGAATAATCAACACCGACCAAACCATAAAGGAATAATCTTATAAGTAAAGCTCAAGGGGAAGCCACGAAGCATTATTTTCTAATTTTCTTTTTAATTATTGTTATTATTTCAATGTTTTCTTCTATTGACTTCTAGGTTTTCCCCAGAAACAAACAGAGTGATCTAACCGAGGAAAACACTAAATTATTTCTTTTTTAAAAATTCAACTAATAATAAGCAACACTGATTGACAGACAAATTCGAAACCTAATTCCCTTATCCCTCTATTTTTAAACAAAAGGAAAGAATATTTCTCAGCCTTCTTTTCTTTTCTTTTTTCTTTCTTTTTTTAATAAAATGACGAGACATATTGAAGCTTGAAAAACTTCGGCAAATGATGAGAGATTCTTCAGCACGAACGGAAGATTTGAATGCGCCACCAGTTTCCAGCTCGCGAAGGACCAGGTAAAACGTTTTATGCCAATGAATTTCGAGCCTGATTTCTTTTTTTTTGTTAGGGGAATTGGAATTGAATTTGAATTCTAGGGCTACTCTTTTGGATTCGGATAGATTTTGCGGGATTTTGATGTAAATTTAGGATCCCGTTCCATATTGATTAGAAATTGTGGTGTAGTTTGAGTTTCGGATTTGTTTTCGTGTTGAATTTTGAAGTTTGAGTTGTTTTCTGCTGATTTTTTATTAGTTTTGGAATTAAGCTGGAATTGTCCCCATCATGTTATAGAAAGGATTTGAATGCTAGGAACTTTGATTCTATTTTCTTGATCTAGGTATAGTTTTTTTGAATGTTTATAATTGTCGAGAATTTTCAACCAATTCA